AAGTGCGCAACTTGATTGGGAAAAGGTGTAGTAGTACTTCATCTAATGCGATGATTGGTTGGTTGGAGGTGTTTTTTCAAGCACTTTCGTAAAACAAGTTGTTTGCCGTTTTCATTCTGGCAGCAACTCATTTTTACGTCAACACGTCAAGGTGCTTGCCGCAATGCAATGAAACTGAAGCAGCTATGGCCACATACATGACTTCCCTTCCGTGATCACAACAAATATTAACTACTCCGAGTAATTTATAACGTTTAGGGATATAGTTAGGATAGTCGTTGCTCTATCCAATGATTCAATGCTATGCCATACCTACAACACAAGATCTGTACTAACGTTAGCACTGTACAGTACGTGGTAAGCAACGTCGCACTACAACAACACGATGTATAGTACTCCCATTTCACATCCTCATACGGTATGCATCGTGATGAACTGGCGGTTGCACTGCTTAAGTTGGCCTGGTGCTGCAAGTCGATTAGTTAGCGGCTGAAATAAAGTAAGGGTTGTCCTATTCGGCTGAAATGCAGAACTTGGGTTTAGCGTTCTTTTATCTTCAATGGGGCTTATATTATTTTAAACGTCTGGTTGTTTAACGCAGTTAACTGTAAAGCACAATAGTACTTCGAAGTACTAGTAGAATTTTAGAACATCTGAAGAACTGTCAGCCAAATCTGAACCGTACATAAAAGGGTTTGGGTTAACATTTGTACTGCCCGTCGGAGAAGTCGACATCAAATTTATGAAATGCACTTGTGGGTCGTCGTTCAGCGAGGCATCGACAGTGATCGACATATCCTTGTGCCTATGCTACTGTATTTCCCGCTGCTCCCTGAAGTATTTCGTGTATACTTTGCTCCTCATGTAAGAGGAATAATCCGAATATGTGTCGATGAAGTCTCATTTACTGGCGCCTCACATCAAATACACGCCTACTGTACTGTAGTACAGTACTACGGTGTACAGAAGTTCGGCTTGCTTCTGATTTTCGTGACAGGAAAATGAACATTATACTTTGAAGTATGTCGTGCCAGGGTGCTGGGATTAGAGGGCGGGCTCTCGGTGGGACACGTTCTTCTGTAAGCGCTCGGAATACTGGTATGCATTTTGTTTGCATTTTGTTGGTTAACGTTATTCGCGAATTGTTTCGAGTAGTCAAGCCAAAGGTTCATGCGCGAAGCGATTATTCCTTAAGCGATTATTCCTTATCCTCCAACACAGCGGCATGTTTCTACATCATCGTGCAACTGTGCCCATTCGACACCGCTTAACCAAGCAACGATCAATCCATGGAAATACAAATACTGTACACTAGTATACATAGACGACAATCGTTTAACCCTTCTTGGCCTTGACAGCCGGGCAAACACCAGTATTGGGGTCCATCTTGCCATTGCCGCCAGCAATGCGGTAGCACTTGGTGGACGGGTAGATGGACATGATGCTGGTCGTGACTGAGAATGACAAGCAGACGAAAAAAACGGACAGTAAGATGGTGCCGGCCAAAGGACTCTTGCCGCCCTTCTTCTTGAGCTCTTGCATCTGGAGGCGCTGGGGAGGCAGCATCCACAGCCACGTTAGAGCAAACAACTTGCTGCCGTACGAGATAAAATACGAGTACGTCACGTCCCACCGCACTTTGGTCGTGTCGTTCCTGATGTCGTCTTGCGACAGCATAAAGTATGAGTCCGCGACCTTGTATATGACAGACGCAAACGGAGACGCCAAGCTGGACACGGTCGTGATCAGGCCATACGTGGCCCCTTCGTTGCCGACGTCGGCGATTTCAACGGCGCAGTACGTTGCCACGATGAAGCGTACACCACCGGGCACATTGTCCGCCAAGGACAAGCCCGTGTAGAACCACTGGTTGCGCACGACGTGCCAGATCGTCATAAAGTTGATGGTGCCGTCAATCAAAATCACACCGATGGAGCTGAGCGCGATGGCCCAGCGCCAGTTCCAGTGCAGACCCCACTTGCCCACCACGACCAAAATCCCCGAAAAGATGAACCCGCCGAGCACGGACGACAATGCGTCGTTCAACGGCTCCACGTTGGCCCAAATACTGTACATGGGCGACCCCGCGGTCGACCCAATGCCTTGGAACATGTTGTTGATGAACCGGAACGCGCAAATCTGCCACATCACACGCTTCTGCAGCAACTCCCAGAAGCTACCGGTCCACATCTTGAACGGAATCGCAGGGGTCTTGACTTCTTTCACGATGAAGATCGTCGACAACACCACGATCACGCACGGAATCAAGCAGATGCCATACGGGACATTGGGTGCCATGGAAAACTCAAATGACCCGTTGTAGTTGGCCCCGTTCAAACCGAAACCAACGATCACGCTCGACGCGATCCCCGCGAACGTGCGCACCGTGTAGATGGCTGTCTGGATGCGGCCACGGATGGCCAGAGGCTCGCGCTGGGCGTACTGCACCACCATGGCGTCGGACGCACACGCAGCCGTGACGTACCCCAATGACACAAACATGGACAATACGATAAACAAGCCACCGTTGTCTGGCGCGCTCAGGTTGAACAAGTCTTGGTCTTTCAACGACGCGTTCATGAACGGCTTGGAGCACGCCTTGGAGCCGCGCGCGGCAGCCTTTTGACGGTTGCAGTACGGCTCGCCCAGCGAAGAGAATGTCATGATCGTTAAACAGAACATCGTGGCCACCCACCCGATCAACATCCACGACTTGCGGCGGTAGCCAAAGATGGGGAAGCAGTCCGACAGCATGCCCATGAACGCTTTGAACGACCACCCCAACGTCACCAACGTGCTGTACGACGCCGTCTGGTACCCTTCCAATTCCAGGTACACGTTAAAAATGGGGTAGTTGAGTGACGGAATCAACCCGTAGATGACACCGATGGCGGCGTATTGGGAAAACAATGCAAATGCTTCCTTGGAAAACAGGTCCAGGGCGCCACCGGCCACCAACGCGCCGTCTTGGAACTCGTCAGGGGTCTTGGCATCGTAGAAGTTGCCAGCGTCCTTGTCGTTCGTGGCCGACTGGATGTACGACACACGCTCTTCCAAGTCGTGGCGCACGTTCGGGTTTGGTGCGTTGTTCCTCATCGTGCCAGGCAAATTGAACAATATTTCAATAAGTTGGACGACTGAAGCAGCTTTGATTCGGACCAGAATGGCTCGACGGACAGCTGGTGTGCGCCATTGCAACACTTGTTGAATGACTGTACGTACAGTACTGTAGAAGGTAAAAAACATTCCAACGTTCTGGACGAAGCCTATTTGACTTTCAAGCTTTAAAAACATGTGGATATTGTTGAAGTCGACGCACAATTTCTCGACTTACTGTTAATTAACAACCTCATACAACGACGTCCAATTTTTCGACTTCCAGTTAACAGCAGAAGTAGGACACGTATTAGTGTCCAATACAACGAAGGTACTCAAGCCCCTCTTTAAGTTACTATTAATTGTAACGTATAACATTTAGAAGTTGTTAGTTGTTGCAGTTGCAGGCTTTTATTTTATCGGAACATGTCAATTCTTGAATTCTATTGGGTAATTCAGCTCGGCAAATCACCGATCTTTTAGCAAATCACAGACCCGTCACGTTACTGACGAAATATTATGATTTGTGATGTTACGAGTGCTATTAAAAGTATGAGTCCACTGGCGCAGTGGTTAAGATAAACACACCGCTGCGCTCGTGTGCTGACAGGAAGTAGGAATGGCGCTTCGCGCATAAATCATCGCTAGAGTAACTCGAAAAACAACTTCAATAAAAAGCAAAGTACAAACCAAATGTAGATTGTGAAGCGCTTACACAAGAACGTTCCAACCAAGAGCCATGTACCCTCAGAACCCATACGGTATGTTTGCTACAGTACATACTTCGAAGTGTAATGTTCATTCCCGGACGCACCTCCAGTCAATGCGCCTACTTGGGGTTAAGCTAAGGAGAACTTCACTGCCGCGCCTTCGGGTATCGTTCACTTACATGAGAGAACGAAATAAGAAAGTCAAATAATACCCCATAGAAATGCACTGATAAACGCAAGTGGAATATTTTTGACTTTTCAGTTTTTGACCCTTTCAACTACTAGTACCCGTAGTGAACAAATTTCATCGAAATCCTTCAAAATTGACAGAATTCGTGATATGAATACCAGTAAGCCAAAGTTGAAACGAGGCAGTATTTAGGAACGGCGTAGTGTTGATTAAAGTAAACTATTATTGTGCTTTTCACTCGTTTTGGCTCTTCACACCATAAACTTGGGAGTTTGTTACATAGACCCCAGTGTTTAGGTAATCCGCACCGTGATTTAGGATGTCACGTGTCGTCACAGAATGTAATTATAGGGATGTCATGTATGCAACTCCCTCAAATTACAGGTTACGTTAATGCGTACAGCCCGTTTGTATATGGAGATGTTGACATTGACATGTTGATCTCTGCCTCATATGTAATCTTCGACTACGTCATCCAACCGCGCCTTCTGCCTGCTCGTGAGGTCGATGCCGAACCTCCCCGTGGTGTGCCGACCTCTCGCATTGTGATCGAGATTGAGTACAATGACCGCACCCTGTCGGAGCTGCAGGTGTGGGCCACACGACTCCTTGGCAAACCCCTCATTCGACCTTCGTTGGAATTCCCGTGTTCAATCGCTATCCCGATGGCTCGCTTGGGATGCTCCCTGTGCCGTCCGTCGTGATGCCGATGGGAACGTTGCAGTGTTTGACGCGGCCTCGCTCGGCATGAGCGCTGCAACCCAGTGTGTGAGATGCTATTTGCGCAAGGAGCAACCCTTCGTGAGCTGCCATTGCCGCCCGTCGTAGTTCCACACGAAGGGGAGTGCTTGTGTGCCTACAGTCGCGAAGACGGCCCACCAATACCTGCCGCTTGGAGCGGTTCGAACTCGTCCATCACCGTGCCGGGGGAGGATGTGTTCTGGATGGCGCCTGCTCCGGCCATGGATCCCCTGCCCGACCTCGTGATCGACTTATGGCGCATTTACTATAAGGTCGCGTCATGCCGCAATTGACAATCAGTTGACATCTGACTCGGTTGATTGATGACGGAACGCAAGGGAAGTGTGGTCAATTGCTGATCTGAACAAGTGTAATGCATAACTTTGAGTTCATTTGATATCGTGTTCTTGTTCTACGGAAAGGGTCCCAACAATGCTATCTATACCTTGTACTCATAATTGGCTGTATATTTGATTGGTTACGTCGTACTGGTATGTTACTATGAAGCATGTGCGCATTGCGAAATTTACCGTCCCGGATTGTCGTTGAGGTAGCGTTTTGATAACGTTAGCATCCGTTGCCACGTACTATTGGCCACTTCTCGTGGAACCGATGGCGGATGCGTGTGTACGAACTTGGATATGTCCAGAGGTCACTTCGATTCAGACGTCGTCTGGCAGGTCGTGGCTGCGCTATCGAGGCTGGTATTATGCATCAGTGCGTTCGTGAAAGCGTGCATGCAATACCAAGTTGAGCTGCCGGGGATTTCAATTCTCCGCCAATTTGCGAATATTGCTGTTCGAGTCCGTGCTGTTTTCCGTCATTTTTAGTGGTTGATTCGTCAACACGAATCAACCATTAAAACTCATCCTATGTGTGCTGCCGACGTAGCCAACTTCTTTGCTGTCGACTTGCTGCAGCTCATGAAAGTCACGTGAGGCGTCACCGTGATGTGAATCGCGCAGTCGGAACGTGGGGCGACTGTAAGCAACCTCTGGAGCCACAAAGTGTACGTAGCAAAGTTGAGACGGGGACCACCAACGGGGTCATCTGCTCAAGTGACCTAGAACTACAGACCCACACAATCCTCGACGAGGTGCGTTTACGCTGAGCTCTGGCCAAGCAAGTCGTTGTTGCCATATGCCATCATTTACTTCTGAAACGAAAGAAATATCACAGCCAAGAAGGTGAAGAATGCCCTTCAAAGACAAGGCCGCAAGCATCGTCCGCATCTACGTCCCGGACCTCACCCCCTCTGACTTCGTCGGTGCTCGTTTCGTCCAACGATTTGGCCCAACGGTTCTTTGAGTCGCTAGTTGTACACATGGCCACCTTCGTCCACGATGAAGTAACAGGGAATATTTACGTGATCAACGACACGTACGAGCACCACAGCCGTGTAATGAGAGGACTAGAAAGGACATTGTAGCATTTGACTGTGAGCAGTTGCACGGTTATTTCGTTTCGTGGATCGTCCACAATAATTGTGACCGTGTTTTCTGATCCAAAAACTATATTGTACGTCATTCCTGCATTTGGCATGCCGTGCAGAAGGCCTAAAGTTGTGGATTCATTACCCTACCCCTCTCAGAGTGCCACGTGGCTACGTTTGGCTGAGTCCCCGCTGTTGTTTCTTGGTAACCTACAGCTGCCCCCACTGGCTCCCCTTGCGATGCCAGCGTTCTTGACGCGTACGTTCCTTGCCACAATTTTTGTAATTCCGGAATGGAACTGGCTGCGGCAGGGCGCGACCTGTACGGGTCTGATTACAGGTAACGTTATGTCAAGCGGTCACTTCAACGCGACGTGGTCTGGATTTGACGGGTCGTCAACGTCGTGGCTAAGTTACAGTACACTGCTGTCGTTGGTTCGGAGGGCAAACCTCCAAGCGCAAATGCGATACCACGTTGAACTGACGGAGATCCAATAATCCGATGTAAATGCTCGCATCCAAACATCACGAGGCAGTACAACTCCATCGAATATAATGGCGCGACCGTGAAGATTTCGCGACCGGTAGGACCCAGGGTTACACCTAAATCCTGTAGAATTCATCGAAGTACTACTCCAGAGTATTTTGTTCAGCTGCAGTACTACATGTGTAATTCCCTCATATCAACAATACTACTGTTTTAAACGTAACCATTTACCTTCACAGAACCAGTAGCCCGGTACTATAATCTCGGAGCCGCCGGACCCCTTGTGTTCGCACACATTGCATCATCAGTGGTTAGCTACTACTATCGCTAACCTTACCGGTAGCTAATACTAGTACGGAATGATTTTGTTTCGTGTATACCTTTATATACCTTGGGTTTTGATGTGTTTCTACCAGGGAATTAATTCTTCGCAATAAAGTGAAATGACAGTAAGGCGCGATGTGTAGTTGGCCGCAAACATACGAGGAATTCCCTCATTACTTATCAGTACTAGAAGTAAAAATAGTCAGCGTGTTTGTTGCACAGATGAGATTAATGAAATGCCTAGTCATGACAGCACTACTAACGCATTTCAGCTAGGGGTTAAATGGTTAGCGATTGAGATGCAACTTATCCCAGTAAATAGTGTTATATGTACCGTACATGTGCCCACCGGGGGTAGTATGGAGTCCCAGGTCACAGGGCTACTGGTCTTCTTTACATGCACAGGGAGGGAGTGTCAGTGCTATGTAGTCTTATCTGTGCAAAGAACGAAGGATTACCCAACATTGCGTCTCGTGATGGGGAATTCCTCCAAACTCAACATCGCCCTATACTGTCCAACACGAAACAGACAGTGGATAAGTGGACACCGTTGCAACACTTTTGACATGGAGGGCGATTGTGGTCAAGTGTCCACCACCCATTCCCTCGTAGCAACGTAAAACATGACTAACTACTAAACAACCATAACGAGTAATGCAGCACACGTCGATCAATCATACCTCAAACCGGACAACGGATATTGATTGCAATCGGCTCGAGCTTTTGTTATCAGATGGTTGCATTTCGAGTTGATTCTTCATTAGACGGCAATGATATCTGCCAATACCATTGCGTTGCTGGCTTTGTTGCACCAATGGGAGTTCCTCTCAAGCGAAATGGCCGCTGATTTGAGCACGTGTGTAACAAACGTGCACGCATCAAAGCATGTCCTTACCCAAGTCGAGGTTGGTTGTCTTTCAATCACAATCGATCGTGCGCCCAGCCTGACACACTGTCGAAAATGGCCCCCAACGACAGCAGCACTCTCCCCCCCACTTCCCACTTGCCCAGTTTTTCTCTCCAAACCGATCGAGCCAAGTTGCACGACCGCATCGAGTCGTTACGTCAACGAATCGCGCTCAATCAATCTCGTCGTCGGGCCGCCACCGCCCCCGCCGTACCCAGTTTCCGCCTTGTGACCGTGCAACCATTGACACCGGATTTCAGAAGCAAATGTGACTTCTGATACCCCAGTCAAGCTAGCCTGGTGTTGTAGCCTTCGAGCGACTAAGTTATGCTAACGTTACCTGCTACGTACTATGGACGCTTCCATTTGAAGTGCCATATCCATTGCAGCCCCGTGAAGAACGCATGTATTGAAATAATACAATTGTACTGTACGTTGATGGTCGTCCTCAATATAAATTGTCGTGGCTACCCCAACGATGGAATCGTAGCTTGCTAAAACTCGACCCATCGTGGTTGTAGCAGCTTCAGGTCATGTTCGAAAGGCCCCGCGTTGGTAGAGTTGTACTCCGGAGCACCACTACCAAACTACGACGTCTCCTAGACTGCAGCATACTACTGCCTCAAAATGACTCCAGGCATCGAAACTCCCATCTTCGAACCCCCCACGCACCGACTGTCCGTACTTGACCTAGCGTTCGACAAACTGTACTATTCTCAATCTTCGCTTGTTGCTGGGGTGAGTACAGTGCGGTACACTGTATATCAGGGTACCACCGCTGGTTCCAACACCCCAGAACATAGCATAATCACCATCTTTGCAATTTTCCCACTTTCCATTCCTGTTTCCGCACTTTCACGTAACTTCATGCACCGTCGTCACCTTTGGGGTCATTGCCGACATCATTGCCAACAACATGTAGTGTGGGTTGTAAATGGTAGTGTGTTTAGACATCCGTGAATAAGGAATCACCTCTCGCGCCACTGGTTGTCCCAACTTGCAGCCCGCTGGATTTTACTGAAATGGTTGAAACGGATTGGTTAGCATTTCAACGACAACGATTGGCCATTACTGTAACGGACATTCCTTTGATTGGCTGAAACCACCAGGGGCGATGGTGGCCGGGCACTCCTTTTGGAAATTCGGCATATCAAAATGATGATCGAAGGTTCCCAGGTGTTGTAGGACTTTGCAGGGCCAGTTCCGCTGTCTACCCCGTCGATCCCTCCACTACCACTTAGTATGAGGGCGAAATATCCGGATACCAGGGCTTGCTATCCGAAAATGTAACCCCCACCAAGATATCGTCGTCCCGCAGCGATTCATCAATATGAGCCACGTAGCCAACAAGTTACGCGAGAATGCGGACAATCAAGCATGTGCCGACTGCAGCCAGCCCGTAACGGCGTCGGTGGCGTGGGCGACGACCACCTTTGGAGCGTTCGTGTGCATCCAGTGTGCTGGCGTGCACCGGAACCTTGGCGTTAAAATTTCACGCATCAAGTCTGTGCACATGGACACTTGGTCGGCTGACGAGGTGGCGCTCATGAAGGGTAACCGCGCGGCCAATGCTGTGTTGGAAAAGCACGTGGCGCCGGCCGTGAAGGCGGCCGTGAATCAAAGTGACGGGTTCCGTGCGGCGTACATTCAGGCGAAATACGCCACCAAGACGTTTGCGTCGCCTGACGGGGCAGCATTCCAGCTACCTCCAACTGCCGCCGCTCCATTATCATCGTCTCAATCCTCCTCGTCATCCTCGAAGCGGAACAATGGAATGTCGTCGTTGGATGTGGCCAAACGCTTTGTGAATTACTTTGTCGTGGTTGGCCGAGGCTCGAGCTTGAAGCAAACAGGTACAGGCGTTGTCGTAGTCGAATTTGGGTGCATCGTGCAGCGTTCATTTGCCATGTAGTGGTCACGTCGACGGGACCAGGAGACATCCAATTCCAGCCCACCATTCTCGACAGCTACCCCGAGACCCTAGCCGACGCCCCACTCCCTCCACACATTGCTCAAGTAAGAAAACATATCCCTGTATTCAAATACTATCCTGTTCATCCTTCTAAACCATACGTTCAGTTTGCCTTTCCGGAGCGGTTGACCTTGAGCGCCACGTTTCGCGAGCCAACCTTCTTTTCGTTTGTCCTGACCAACGTCAGTGGGGCCAAGGTACAGAATCATCAAACTAGTACCTTTTTTTTTATTTGGACTATCGCGTTTTTGATATATATATATATATATTCGAGCTACCCTTACTCGCAGAACGTTCATTGTTATCGTAGTTGTATGCGTGCGCACTCCAATTCGACGAACTGCTTACGCCATTTGAAGTCGTACGTACGACAATGTTCGAAACAAACGTTTAGAACGGCCGAATCCTTGCGATTCGATAGATGGCGCTGTTTGTAAAAGACGCCATGCCAACGTGGGCCCAAGCGTTGTCCAGTGGCAGCACAAAGCAGGCGTCGGCCGTGTATAGCCCCAAATGCATCGTCGTGTTGAGCCAGTATCCGTTTTTTTCAGCGTTTCGAACGTTTCTACAACAAGTACTTTGACTAATATATATATATATATATAAACGTCGATTGCTATTATAATATTGGATAGATTTACCGGTTGTCGCTGTCCGAGGCCCCGCTGCCACTGGAGCGCTACGTGGCCAACTTTGTATCGGAAATCCCAGTCCCACCTCCGGTATTTTAAATCATATTTTAACAACCGAATATACTGAACTATTAATGCATTTCAACTAACTATTCACCTAACGGTAGGGTCGCGTGCAAGTGGAGTTGACGCTACCAGAACACACAATGGTCGTGTCCAGGCCACCAACCAACCAACTCCCCCACGCCGATGTATGTATATATATATATATATATATATATATATTCCGCAATATCATGATATATATATGCCTTGTACACATAGTTTGACTGTCTCATGCGATTGTTATGGTTGTTTTGCAGGTGAATTTCCGCCCGCTATTTCAAATGCTCGACTTGAACAACGTCCTCGCCGTGTTCACGTGCCTACTACTCGAGCAAAAGGTACGATTTGGTTTAATTTGTTCATCTTTCACTACTATGAATATGGAAAAAAAGTGAAGAATATATCAGTATTGCAGAAGTGATATTGTCCTTTTACACCCAAACGTTGGTTGACTTTAGTGCTGAATCGCCAAATCCATCGATCGATCCTTTGTACTGGATATTTTTGTATGTAAAAAGGTGTCCTGTGGTGATTGGCATCACACTAATTTCTTTCTAATTGAAGTCACACACTAATTTGACGTTGATGGTGGTTTCCTGCAATCTGATTGGCTAAATAATTTCTGTCGATTTGGATGTGTCGATTCATTCTTCATGTCGCTCCAGTTTAGAAGAAACACTAATAATATATTATCGTTTCTAATTGCACTTGTACTTTAGGTGGCGCTGTGTTCAATGCACTTGAGCGTGCTCACACCCATTGCCGAATCCCTCCAAGCCCTGCTGTTTCCGTTGTACTGGCAAGGCGCATACATTCCCATCTTGCCGTCGTCGTTGCTCGATATTATTGATGTACATTGGAGTTGCTTACGAAACGACCTAAGCAACTCGGTAGGCCCCGGTGCCATTCTTGGTCGGGGTGCACTCCACGTACTTGGCCACGTCCAACCGGAGCAGTGCCAGCGATGTCTTTTTCGTCGACTTGGACCACAATCGGTACCTATTATAGTACCATAATGATCTTCAGATCATATGTATATATCATATCCTTGGCCCGATATATATATATGTTGTGCATTGCACGACTAATATCGTCGTATACTATAAACCTGTGTAGCATTATTGCCCCGTCCAACGAACTCGGACAAGTAAGTCGTGTGTATATTATATATAGATAGACTTATCGTAAATTAAATCGTTTGGGGGGGTAGGAAGCAACGCTGCCCAAACTGCCCGAGCGCGAAACCGCCAAACTTCGGAGTAAACTCCAAGACGTTGCCAACGTAAGCTCTTTTATTGCATATTTTGGCTTTTTGATTTCCTTTGAAATGCCCAATTCTCTCTTGTAAGCTCTTCTAGTACCTTTGATTTGTTTAGAAGTTATTCTTTTTGTCTGTTAAAGCTCCTAAAGCATATGTTTGTCCACAACACGACGGAGAAATACATGATCAAAGCATCCCTCAAAAATTAAGATTTTTCTAAAAAAAATAGAAGTTATATATTTAAATTAGAAATCAAAAATATATAAAATTATCATACCCACTAATCGATGTACAATAAATATCCTGTATTAGGTCTTTGATCCGTTCGCGCCCGAGATTGCCAAAGCCGACTGGGCGTTCGACCACCAAGAGTACCGCACGCCTGCCGTTGTGGACGGCACCACAGGGGGTCGCATATTGCACCCGACAGACGCCGACCGCAAAGCCAGTTTATCGCTCGATCGAAAGGCCACGCTGTCGTTTCAGACGCTCAAGATGCTCGTGCCGTCGCCGTCCGCGTCGGTACTCACCGAGCGGTCGGCGTCCATTTCTACTGGAACCGGAGGGTCGTCCAGTCCGAATGCATTTCAAACGGACGCGGTGCGCCAAGCGTTTTTGCGCTTCTTTGTCAGTATGTTCAAGCGGTATGCAGCCTACTTGGTACGTTGGTCCATACTATGCATTATCTCGACAATACACAACATGAAATAACTACAAAAGACTATGAAAAAGGAGAACCTTGTATTGTGTTTCAGCGGATGGATATGGATTTGGATGTATATATATATATATTTATTTATATATATGCATATAATATCTGTACGAGTGGTTGGACAAAAGATAGGGGTGGATACACCCGCCGCTTTGTATATTGAAAAGACATGTTGTAGACTTTACTTGGTTGGTTGATTTAGATATGTTGGCGATGTAGTGTACTTGTGGGCATGAACAGTATATATATATATATTGTTAATCCAATGTGGTATGTTAGAATCCAAAGGCGTTGCAGCATCCGTCGCAAGCATTATTCGACTCGGCAGCGTTCCTACGTGATAACAGCGACGCTGCGTCTCGGCCGTTTCTGTCGACCGTGCTCGCGTCGCAAGTACGTTGTCACACACATACATATATATTATCGGAGCTTCTTTATATATATATATATTAACTTCTTTACATGTTGCCCTTGCCCACAATCAGTTGTAGAGACTACATATTATGGCAGTCTCTACTGTAATTATGTGTGTGTAGTCTTCCCAATCTCTCGTTGGTCAAAAGTCGAGGGCTATTCAATGGAGGCCTTGGGGGGGATATACAGTAGCTAGCTGCCTGGAAGGATGTGATTTCTTTTACAGGCCATTCTACATTGACTTTTGAACCCAATATGTATATATATATACAATAATAAGTAGTAGTGGGGTTCTGATTGGCTCTTACAGAAAGGAACAGTCTAGTCCGCCCAAGCAAACGGTTGTCCCTGCGTGATTTGATAATATATATATATATATTGACCAGAAAAAAAAATATTTCGCAAAAAACGTTTGGACGTTTGATATAGTCACACTATACTGCATGTGTAGATGTTTCAGCGGTTCTGCCACGACCGAAGCGCTGACGCCGACAACGTGCCGGCCGACGTCCGGTTCTTCGACGCATCGATCTATCAAAAGCTCAACCGGTCCGTGACCCTGGGGAAAAAGTACGACGTCTCGTTTTTAGAAGACAAAGCCGAGAGCATTCGGGAGACGTACGTGGCACCGCCGCCGTCCACGATGGGACTCCCAGACAATGGCATGCGCTACAAGTACCGAGGGTTTCCTCGGCTCAAACGGTACGATTATTACAATTGGTTAAATAACATGATGACTTGAGAATGATGCGGAAATACCTTTTGAATTAAACACTTATAAACCCAACGATGTTTTGTAACTGTATGTGCGGGGGCATATGAATTGATGGAGGTTTGTATTTTATATATATGAAATTGTGGATGGAAATTATAAGATAAACGAGGTGAAAACACCAGGAAGGCAGCGCTGCGCCAATCGTCTGCTCTTCTTTTTCCTATAGAGTGTTTTGGCCAGTGATGATCACGAACGGGGATGTTGTGATATGTTGTCAAATCCAGTCCATATTGTAAAGTTGGCGAATGTATTTAGAGCGTCTTAGCCAATCAAAATCACGGATGAGACGTTTCAGCCAATCAGCAGCATTCGTTGATTCAAAATATATGTGTCTTTCAAGCTGGATACCATACACTAAATACGATTAATAATTGACTCAATTCGAATCATCTGCCAAGTGTGAAAACGACAAATATCCCACTTTGTTATTGTTGTAGCCATTTGTTTGGAACGATTCGAAAGCCACGGGAACTGTTTACTGCCAACGAACAGCAGCGTCATGTGGCTCCTGTTCTGGACGTCCACCAGCAAATATATAACCTCAGCACGTACGTATAATATATATATATATATATCTTAATGCACATATATATTATCCAAAACACATCATATCCATACACCAATTAAGCTCTTGAATAATATATATATATATTACACATCATATCCATACACCAAATATGCTATTGAATAATATATATATATATATATATTATATTGTATCGATGAACTTTACTAGTATATGGATGCAATGTGTTTTTGGACAATAAATATGTGCTAGCTGCAGCCTATGGACGACATGTTAATAAGGATATGCAGGTGTGTGGTGGAGCCGGGGACGAGCTGGGACGCCACACGCAAACTGGTGGTGTCGGTAAGCTGCTACTAAAGAACTTGATGGAATAGCAATCTATTGGCGGTAATGTTCTTATATGGACTTAGCTCCAAGCACTGTACCGAATGCACCGAGCGAGGAAGTCGTATCGCAAGCAACAAGCTGCGGTGACCACGATTCAGTCATTTGTGAGCTCCCACCTCAAAGTAACGGAACCCAATACACACACTCTCCAAATATATATATATATATATCTACGACATGCTACAAAGTACTGGATGCAATATATAATGTGTTGTATGGTGGTCACCACATGTATATATATATATATATATATCGCTGCTGCATTGTGTTTTCTGATCAATTTTGAATTGAAACGTGTGTAGCGCCATGCCATGCAAACAAAATACCGCCGATTTCGATGGGCTCTTGTCCAACTGCAGGTAACCATCCCTCGTTCTCTCTCTCTCTCTCTCTCTCTCTATATATATATATATATATATATATATATATATATATATATTTGCAAGTATTCCGGCATCATGACACCATGCGTCTTTCATAGCAGACTAGTGTTTCGTGTCACTATTGTGAGCTTTATAACAATCCTTTTCTGTATGGTATCGTTATTTTCTTCTTTCTATAGAGTCGCGTGCGATCCAAAGCCCAGCAAGTCGCATATGCCATCGCCCGACGTGCCGTGATGGTGCTCCAAGTCACAATCAAGGGATTTGTGCTGTCGACGCGGTACCAGCGTCTTCGCCGCGGTGTACTTCGGCTGCAAGTACGTAAGATATACAGTAGGACAGGAATCGCTTCTTTCCGTTCGAACTATATCATTTTGTGGAGTTGGGCTTTCAGCTAAAAATTTGGATTTGCACGCTGATTCGCCAAATCCATCGAGAGCGAGTGTTGTACAGTGTACTGAGTTTTGTGTCACACTAATTCGATGTTGAGTGGTTGAATCGAGAACTGGATTGGCCACTTGAATAGTGTCTTGGGTTTTGATTGGTCGATCGATTGTTTGCCGATTTGGTCTCCCATACAGTACTATCTATATACATATATAAGTATGAATATATAGGTTAGAGAACACGACGAGATATGTATGACACGTGTTTTGAATGACATGAATATATATATATTTCATGGTAGGCATGGTGTCGTCGCAAACACCAGCAGCAATGGTACCGTCGGCAAATGCATCGCATTGTGCTGGTGCAGACTCACGTCCGCGGAATGCTCGCGCGCCTCCACTCAATCAAGTACGAACGTCCAAGTGTTGATCCAATGATATCTTTATCATCACGAATGTATCAACGAATATGCACCCTTGATGAAATGTGCATATATTTATGACTTGTTATATATTGTGCTTCTGCGATTTGGATTGGGCAGCAGAGTCAAGTTGTAACATATATTCACTGTATGGTTTCCAAATGTAAGCTGAAAAATTTCATTGGACCAAACGGATGGGTGAAAAAAAACTATGCTGATCGACGATTGGTTGAAATTTCCCATTGGTAGAGTTTGATTGGCTAGGACATTCTACAATACAATGGCCAACGTCCAAATTGAAACGGATTTGACGATATTTTATGTGATAGGTGGCGCACGTCGTATATAAATGACCTGAAGGCGCACATGTTTACCCTGTGGACACAAGCGGCGATTCCGCTCGTGTATCGGTCCAAATTTTGGCTTATGTTTGACCGCTTCGACTTTATGAGCATTGGGGTACGTGATATTGATATTCCACTAGTTAGACGACTCTATAAACGGTTGACTAAGAGCAGCACAAGCGTTCAAAACACTCAAACGAGTGTACACTGTCTTTGTAGGTGCATCTAGACGAAATCGCGCGGCTTCAAGCGATTTTGGGGTGCACGCCGCTGGCGGCAGTGGCCCCGCTGCCGTCAACGGCTGCCAAATATGGGAATTCTGTCCAAGCAACCAATGACATGGACATCGTGTTGTCGAGAAGCGCTCGAAAACGCCGCCAACGAATTCTCAAGTCGTCGCACACTAGTCGAGAAATTGTACGTCAAATGCTCTTATGAAGAAATTGGACGTATGGATTTCTGGGATGATATGTTGTCCTTTGAGCCACACAATGTGGAGTTTTGGGTTGATCCGCCAAAATAATCTATTGATAATCGACTTTTTTCGTATATATTGACTGTCAGAATATTAGAATACGGTTTAGGGCGAGTCTCGATGCCACAGGCATTTTTTATAAAATAATATTCTGACAGTAAATTCCCTTTTCTAATGGGAGGTGAGAGAAAATATTTTCATGTGACCTCTGGATCCCACGATAGAATGGGAAGTACTGCTGATACAACATGTAAGAATTGGACAGTTGCACTTGAAACGATTTTCTGTTAGAAAATAGTATAAAATCGACGTACTGAGTCACTTTGTAAATTTCAGATTTGGTAGCCAAACACACATAACCTGTCGTTTGAAAATTTGTCATAATATTTCTGAAAAGGGGTATTTTCTGACAATATTTTGGGGCATCCAGACCAGTCCTTAAGATTATTTATAAAAAATATTTTTGATAAACACCGTTTATTTGTCTATTTCTTATTGTTTATTTTTTCATTGAGTGTCGCCCTTCACACTAATTTCATGCACATACTCATATTTTTTATGAGAGAGTTTGATTGGCTGTTTGATTCATGTTGTGTATTTTGATTGGTCGATAGATTCTATGTCGATTGAAGTACCCCTCTATCGAATTGACAATAATAAACGATGGGTAGGCCAGCGTCCGATTGGACGAAGAACGGTTGCATCTGTACGACCAGCTCAAGTACCACACGACCGACGCGATAGCCCAGTCGTTGTATCGATCCATGGGGATTTCCCTCGCGAGTAAAAAGAAGAAGCGAAAGGTATGGATGGAGTAATGTTAGTAGTTGATTCAACAAAGTTAGTAGTACTACTACTATTCATGCTACTCACTGAACAAAGACCTATTGACGACCAATCTAACCATCATACATTGTGGTTCTGAATCTAGTTGATTGACATGCTCTGGGCGTGTCTCGATACAGCACACAGCAGTGCTGAGGTGCGTTGGAAGTTGGAATCGAGAGGAATGTGACGATCTTGATATGTAGATCGTCTTGTCGATTGGCGTGAGTGGTGCCCCGCAAATGAGTGTTGGAACCATGGAGGCCAAATTGCATGTACGTATCAACGTACTTCGAATATATATATATATATATATATATATATATTGATGACTCGTATATATACTCAATGTTGGACCCATCAACGGCGTTCTAGTCTCGGATTTGCTCGGATTTGGCCTACACTGTGAACGCGGCCATGGCGTCTCTCCAGGTATATATTCTATTGTCCTAGTATCAAAATTGAGGGGTTTCGGGGTTGCGGAGTTTCGGGGTTCGGGATTTGCAAGATTTTTTAAACAAGGCACACGTTCTGCCGTAGAAAACCAAGTCCCCCACAACGACTAAATCCGTCGAGGGGCACCGTCGAGCATCGTCGTCCTCTTCCACGGACCGCCGGCGCCAGGACGACAACAAGCAGGCGCTCATGCGGGCCATGGTGTACCAGAACCACTGCTTGGAGATTCAAGTTGCAGAGAGCCAGCGCGAGTTGGTCAAGTGCCGTCAACTGCTGGCCGCCCACCAAGCGCCAACTAGTTTCACGAATGAAAAGGAGGACGACAACGGTGGCGATGCCACGGGGGGGATGGGATTGGGCAAAGGGGCGCTACGACGCCCTAGTTTGATCTCTGGTCCCCAAGCGTCCTATCAAAAGCTCGTGTAATGTGTATGTACTGACAAAGGTACGCTTTACAAAAGAACACCAGGCAGATATGTAGCTCTGATAAGAACACGATGACACGAATTTATCATTTGGCCGGTCGATTGGTCTGTCATTCGCTGCTCGAAATGACATCGAGCGGGGATTGTCAACGGTAAACCGGGTGTAAATATGGAACTACGTACACGGTCGGTCGGGCGGCAGATACAGGGTAGTATCGCGATCGGATGGCGAAGAGTTCTGTGGTTTGGTATGCCGTAGTGTCGTGTAGACCTACGACTACGATCATATTGCGAAAGTCTGGTACTCTAGCATATATATACCTACCTCGCATTGGGACACCAGGTTGTTGCGGGAAGCTTGTTAGAGCGGGAAGCTTGTTAGAGCGGGAAGCTTGTTAGACATAAGTCAATCACTTTCATGGAATCGTGACAAGAACGTTGTCGTTTCCATTACCCTGTTTCTCGGCGGGGGCTTACTAGGCAACGATTGGGTTCGCCGCTACTTGGGCTTGAGTTATGCTACACCGCTGCGACGAATGACCAACGTGGTGATGATAAAACTTATTGAAGAGCGTTGATTCCAACAACAGCATCGATAGAAAACCCTTAATCTCCACTGCGGCGGCCAAGAGTAAAACACCTAGGGGATGGAGGGCAATGTCAGGGGGGTTTGGGGAAACACATATCACGTGGTTGCTAACGTTGCACTAACACACATAAATAACTCTTCTCAGCCGAGATAAATGCCAAATGGGATTCACAATAGTACAGTAACGTTAACAAGAACGAACCCACGGTGTGAGACAGCGCAGTGACATCCCAAACGTGAAAACATCGACATTTCGCGCCATCTGACTATAAATCACAGTGCCTTGAACTTTGTTGTTCACCTCTGCGTAGACGAGCCGCAACCCGTTCTCATCCGAACAAATATTGTTTTGATTGGCTAGTTTCAAATTATCCGGCTATGTGTTGAAGTCCGAAAAGTCACAGTTTGACACCAATACACCAGCTGGAGTAGCAACGGTATAGTGACGTAGGTATAACATGTTCAGCAATCTCATCCCGCACCCTTTTCTTGCCGTGCAATCATACCAGTCCAACACTGCCAGTGTCCCGCAACATGTTGCCCTGTACATCTCCTCCCCCCACAACCACCACGAATATGGTGGACGAAAATGACATCGAGTCCATGACTTCGTTGTACTCTGCCTCATCCATGGATAACCACGACGATTCGTTCCATTGTCAATACACAGTGTCGGCCATCTTGATCGAAGAAGTGTCGACTCCTTCCTACTGCATCCGATCGAATGCGTCGCCTCGGTCGTTTCTGTTTCCATTGTCACGTTCATGGACGTCCAGTTTCGCATCGGACACAGCAAACGTCGTCCCCATCAGCCATAACGATGGCACTACCCGATTCGACGAGGCAAGCTACTCCAGCAACGCAACGTTTGGCACGTACAACTCGCTTGGTACGTCCAATCACGCGACAGTCGGCACAACGTCCGTGGACAATTTGTCGTTCATACAAGTGGAAGAATCTAGCGTCGAGAGTTCCAACGTACGCGTTGTGGCGCCATCGTCCATCGGTGATGCGCATTCGTCATCGCATCGACTCTTGGACTTGTCGGCGCTTTCGTCGATTGATTCGACCAGTACGAACCCCGCCCTCGACATGCGCGGAGTATGCTACGACGAAGAGGAGTCCATGTGGTCGCGAGGTCCGTTTCCATTTGCCCTACGACCGTTCGCCCAAACGTACACCAGTACCACGGCTCGAGATTTTTTCCGTCATAGCTATAACCGATCCGCCTCATCCTGTACATCTAACGGCGGCAGCAACACCAGCGCGGCGCCCCTATTTTATTACGACGACGACCAATACGAAGAGCATGTCAACATTTGGGCGTCCCGGGTATGGACGTCCAGTTCGGGAAAGGACGAAGACATCGAGTCGTTCTTGCAAGCAATGGATACCGCGCGCGGGCAACTGGCGCAGCAACTCCACCACAGCCAGCAACACATGCACGAATCGCAACAGCCTACGACGGCATCGTCGTCGTCGTGTATGAGGCGAGCAACGTTGATGCACGCGATCTCGGAGCTTCCGGAGGTGCCGCACCACCTAACCTACCCGACGCCTTCGTCGTCGTCGTCGTCGGTCTTTGGTCCGATGGTGAAGATAGAGTCGGACGAGTCCACTTCGACGATCTTGTCGCCTGTGATTCAATCCAAACTCGGTCGTGGCAGTCTGCCGTGGTTTCATCGCGTATTCTTACTTCCACACGAACCGTTGCGCCGGGCGCTGCAGACCATCCGACGGCTCGTACACCCGACATACCTTCCGTTCCACAGTTCGCATTTCAAAATGCCTGCGTTCTTTGCCTGGTTCGACCAGTTGGCCCTGTACATCCGCACGATATGCCACGTCAAGACCCACGTCGTGCTGTCGGCGATTCTAGGGGTCAACCCATCGCTCGTGAAACTGCTCGTCGCGACCGTCAAGTCGTACGAGGCCGTGCTATCCCTCCTGGACGCAGTCCGATTCTTTCGAACATTCCAGCCGACCACCCAAGCTTACTCTGATCTACCCAATCATGGCGAAATGGCATGGGCCAGCTATGTGCTGCAGCTCGCAGAGTACGTGGCCACGTTAGAGCACATCTTGTGTGCGACCCTCGACCGCGACGAGCAAGACTTTGGCCAGGCGCTGGCGTCCACGTTCAACCACGAAAGCTATGTCCGACAGATCCAGAAACGCACGGAAACCGCGCTTCCTCCCCACGTCAAACGGGTGATCGTACCGTGGATGTTGGACGGCTGCGACCAATTCGGAGGAGCCCCCGACGACTGGCAGTGGGGCTGGTGGAGCAAATGCATGTACGAGACTGTGTGGCGGCGCTACTACGCCAACAACGTCGTCGCACATCTCCACACGCTAGAGTTTGGTACGGCCGCACCAACTAGTCCAAGCTCAAACGACCGATAGCCACATGCAACCGCTACAGATGTACAGTACAGTATTCCAATTTGGGGACCTTAATTATAAACATCTTTTAGACGCGAAATCCATTGCGTGGTGGTGTATGGTCCTAATGTGTCTACTGGACAGCAACGGCATTATCGTTGACACGTAGACGTTCGCGCAGTCAAGGGTTCCTGCCAAGTGTCATCATCGGTAGTCTGCAACATCAATTTACACGGACGTAGCTCGGTAGTAGTGCAATGCAGTCCTGTCTTGCACGCCATACTCGTGTAACGTTAACTTGAGGGTAAATGCGATAGGCATGACGAACGCAGAAAAACGGTGCTAAATATAGCGTGAACGCTGGCAAAGTAGTACAGTATACCTGGCGTCGATAGTAGCATGACCGACCGCGCCACGGACCTGCTCTTGGACAATGGTCAAGCCAAATGGAACATTGTGAAACTGGGCACGCCGTCGCCGAGCTGTATTAGTCACAAGGTCGTGTTGGATGCGATTCGAACCGACTACGCCCCCACAGCCCCCAACTCGCTCGTCGCGCTCCGAAAAGCGCCAGTCAATGCAAATCCGTACGCGCAAAGGTTTCCTCACATTCGAAAGGCCCCTCCTCGGCATTATAATCATCCCCCCATATCAACGTCGTCATCGCCATCGCCCGAGAAATCCAAGCCACGACAGACGCATTCGCCCACGACCCAAGCAAACTTGTTACCCCCTAGACCTTCTACTACCCCCGGGACCACGTCGTTGCCCCCTGCCACCACTGCAGCGCCGATGACATTTCATGAACTCGAGATCATCGCGCCCAGATCCCCCAAGCCTCGCAAACATCCCACCAAAGCCCCGTTATCCCTACCAAAACCATCGTGCTCCAACTCAATTTCAAATTGGAATCACACCCCGCTGGCTGCCGCCCCGCGATTTGTACCAGGGCTGCGCTCTGACGACTTAAAAGCCAGTCGCCAACTCGCTCGACAACGACAGAACTTGGACGCGACAGCCCACCGACTGAGCAAACACGAACGGAGTGGCCCCACACTTGCAAGCACCCTCAACGACGAACAATTCAACGCTGACATGGTCACAATCACGACCCTAGCCCAAGATTACGCCACTCTCGGCGACACGACCACGTACGTACACGAATAATATTGTCGACGACGACGACGACAAGATGTGTGATCTGATGGCGTAGGGCGTGGAGGTACCGTGGGTTTGGACTTCGAGCCCTCGGCGACCGGCACATGCATTTGTTTGTAAAGAACGTGACGCTGCAGTTCTACAGCGATGCCGTTGAAGACTTCACCCGGGCATGTGTCCAATTTGAAGCGTTGGCGCAATGGCATGTGCAATCTCGCGTCGGTCGGGGCGACGATGTGCACCATCACATCCTGGCCGACGACGAACGGTTTGAACCGATTTCAACGAGCCGACACGTTCGTTGCTGATAAACCTGGTAGGTTGCTCTTGCTTCGCCTCGACCCCACGCACGTGGTGCAGTCGTTTGCAGCCCATGCCGCGACTACGTCCCTCAAACACGCGTACTTTGCAGTGTCCGAAGCCAAGACCAGCCACACCGGCGTCAGCATGCACATTCGGGTGGCGTGCGAGATGCTTTCGATCGCGTACACAGCGTTTGCATGGCTGGACCTGGACACGGTGCACTTGGGGTTCGTGCACTCAAGTATCGACGCAGCACAGCACCGCGCAAACTTACGCGCGGCCTTGTCGCATGTGGCCCTCGAACGACATGCCGCCCTCGAGTCCGAGTGGGCGCGGCACCGCCAGGACTTTAACAAGCAAGCCGAGAGCTTTCTCAACATCTGCAAGCAAGCTGAGTCGCTTCGCATCGCACCCAAGGACAGTGTAAGTGTCCTATCGACCACAGTGGCGGCGTCCAACGTGGAAAAGCGAGCCATGGCCGCCGTTGTACAGGTATTAATTATATAACCAACCTAAGCTGACGACGACGGCCAGGATATCATGTAAACATCATTGTTCATGTACTTTGTATAGGTCATGCATAGTACGGGGGGTAACTTCGTCGTCCGTAGCCACCGAAAACACGTGAAAGATACGGAACAGGTCAAGAAACTATCGAAGAAATCCAACCGTCGCCCCGTGACGCCCTCTCAGACTGCCACGTCGTCGAGTAGAGATGTCGCGCTGATCACGCTCTTGGCGGACAAACGATCTCAGGCCCAAAAGGCGATATTCGATGAAGATGTCGTGTTTGCGTGCGCAACGGCTGCGACCACCGCGACCGCCAGGGCCTACGAAGCGGCGGATCGAGAGCGGCAGGCGTGGGCAACTACAAGGCTAGAGTGTGATGCCATGGACGAGGAATGCATGCTGTCTTTGGCGGTCGAAATGAAGGGCGAAAGGTGTACGTCGACGCGACAGGATGGCGTTTCGCGGTATGTGCTAGGCGTGATGGGCACTGCAGTACGACGCGTGATTCGGCAAGTTCTTCAACGAGGGGCAGCTATCGAAGTCAACGATGTGGAGGATACAATATCCTCGCTGGAAAAGGAAGCAAAGGAATATGCATTGGTGAAAGCGTTCTTTGCATCCGATATTGAAGCGCAACGAGAGGCCCTAGCCCATGAAATCGAAGCGTGCAAGGCCATGTATGCCAAGCGCGTGATCGACGGCGACGAACATGCCCGGAAGCTGTGTCTGAAGCTCCATGAACTGGCGATCGCTGAAGAAGCCATGGAGGATTTGGTCTACGAATCACTGGAGAAGGAAGAGGTCGTGGTGATTCGGTACCATCAGCCGTCGTCCATGTCGCCGCAAGTTTGGGAAGCATGGGGAGCCGACCCCGAGGATAATGTATGAAGGCTAAAGTAGGTATGCTTCTTCATTCTAATCTATTAAGCGCAATTTAGCACACACGTTTTATACGGTAGCAAGTATCTTTTCAAAATCGTTAGCTTTATAATTAATGTATACTATTACACTATTTATGATTGGTTGTATTTTGCCTATTCCTACTCTGACCTATTGAGAAATCTAGCGCGGTCTGTTATCAAACTCTGAAAGGGCAACATGGGGCGTTGCAGCAATTGCGTTCGCCTGCACGCTGCCCTGGACGAAGCGACTGACGAGGTCAACCTCCTGAAAGTGGCCATTGCATCACCACCCCACGCGTCAGCTGACGAACCTGATGACACCATCGCGATCTACCGCATGCTTATAGTCAAAGCTCGCAGTCAACTCCGAGGCGTCCAGGCGCAACTCGCGGCGGAACGCCAAGTGTCCGCAGACTTGCGCAGGTCCATTCGACGTATGTCGCATCCTTCTCCATCGTCACCTCATCTTGCCAGCGAACCAGTTGAAGACTTGCGCCTTGACGAGTTGACTATCCCCCCCGCATTGTCCCGATGCCACAACCACCTCGACCATTTGGATACCCAACTCGCTGCCATGCAAAACATTAGTGCCGTCCATTCCCCAAGCTAGTTGTCCTCTCAAACGACCAATGAACTCTTCATATCCTTTCGCATCATATAGTATTGTATTAACGTCGCTACTTATTCGTTCTGCGACCCTTGGTCAGCGACCTTGGCCTTCTTCACAGCCGCCCCCTCCGCTCCTTCCTTCTCCACGTCGCCGTCTTCCTCTACCGAGCGCTTCTTCGTAGCCTTCTCCTTCTTCAAGAACGCATGTACAATCGCTTCCACGTGCGCAAACGGCGCGCGAATCGCATGTTTGTGGTTGCGGAAATGCACTGGCGAGTGATCCACTTGGACTTCCACGACCCATTCCTTGGTTGTGTTGTGCTGGTACAATTCAATCGCGGTCAGCGCCGCATACGTCGGAAACACGATGCCCACATCCAGCTGCATGGCATTCCACAACGCGATGAGGGTGCTGTCGTGCACGGCCATCAAGCTCGCGCGGGGTGCATGCTGGCCCTACACCGTGCCACGTCAGATTGTGTCACTTGTTTGAAATGTCTCGTACTTGGGTCACCGCGTGCAGCAAATGGAAGATTTCGGCCACGCCCTTTTGAAACCCGTCGTAGCAATCGGCGGCATCGCCAAACAACGCGTGAAACTCCCACGTGTTGTAGTCCACCAGCTTGTTGTACATGGCTCGATCCATGCCGCTAGGAAACGGCACGTCGTGCGCATGTCGGCACACTAGCACTTCGCGCACTAGGATGATTGATTGCATGATCATGAGAGATGAGCCTGACATGAGTATGATGGTTATTACGCGACGTGTAGCAGATGGGCTGGTCGTCGTGGATGCCAATTACTTTTCGAATGTCCTTGTCCAACGATTGCGTGCATCCGATCGTGTCGGGGAGCGGCGGCAGGGTCGCGGTGGCCACGTGCGACGGGTCCTTGTACCGCGCCAAGAGCCGACCGTAGTCGGCTTGCGTGAACGACGGCTCCAGGGTCACGTCCGTGTTGATGCGGATGTGCAACCTGTCGTTACCAACGAGTTCCGGAAAACACCCGTGAAGGAGCGCGAGGCACGACCGAATTGTGCGGCGGACGTTCGTCGACCGAATGTACACGTCCTTCTCGTGGATGTCTGCCAAGAAGTCAGAGTAATGAGCACGAAGGCCTTCACCCTTGGCTTCCATTTGCTGCAACCCTCGAACGGTTAACTGGCCGTTGGGGAAGGTCCCGCCATCTCGCGGGGCTTTGGGGGGCGGCAGGTGCGGCTCCATACCTGTGACTTTGGCGCCTTTGCTCAATTTTTCAATGTGTTCGTCGGATGGAAGCTTGGACGCCCACAATTCCTTCTCCGCCGCATCCATCACCAAATGTTGACCCACTTGGGTGGTAATGGGGCTGCGGTCGCCGTGTCGAAACAGCACCAGAACATGCTTGAGGACAAGGTCGCTCGGGTTTTGCTTGCGCTGCTGCTTCTCCCCGTGCGGAGATGTCGCCGACTTTGGTGACTTGGCTGCTTTAGGCGACTTCACAGCTCTCGGGGACTTGGCCGCCTCCAAGGCGGTAGCTGGATCCACATCCACCCCGTTTCCTCGGCGTGTCGTGACCATAATTTTCAAATTTGTGGCAAGAAGAAATCGAACCTCAGTGAGATTCCGGATACTCCGGAGTATAAACCAAGATAAGATTATCCGGAAATGTCAATGAAATTATCCGGAGTTTTTTTACAGCTCAAAGCTCATCAACGTGCCGCGAGTACCAGGACGCAACCCACGAGTCCTCCACAATCACCGAGACAATGTAGAAGTACACGAGAAGGGCGACAACGATCACGACAGTCACACCGACACCGATAAGAGCGGCGGCACATGACCGCTCGACCGTCCGCATGCGAGAACCAAACGAGGACGTGTCGACGTCCTTGGCAAACTCAAGCGCAGGCGTGAGGTGCAAGCTGCTGGTGCGATGGGTACTCTCGTCGGTATTCCCGAGGGTTTCATTCTGCATGGCTTTGGCCGCCTCGACGACGCACGTTCGACACTCCCTCGTGTCTAGTGGATGCCCAGGCGTCGTAGCCGCTACCGACACAGAGCATTGAACGCATGTTGTGGCCCCACAAGTCTACACATCGACCCACGTCAAAGTACTGTATATGGCATGCTTTTCGAGGGAGGCAACGACGTCTGCATGTACCTTGCACCGACACCGGCGTTTGAATTCCGCGAATTGTTCCTTGCACACGTGGCACGATTGGTGGGCTTTGGCGGTTTGACGGTCGTGCGCGGTGTCGCAGACGGTGCACACCCACACTTTAGCTTCGCTCCGAATGCCAAATGGAGCTCCGTCTTGGAGGTGTCCGCACGCCTTGCATGCGAATTTCTGGCAGACTTGGCATTTGAGTTTCTTGCGAAAGAGGCCAGCCGTGGACCGGCAAAACTCGCATCGACTTGGCGCTTTCAACGTCGGCGAGAACGTCGCGCAGGTCTTGCAGCACCGTGCCTTGATACGGCGATGCGTCGACGGCGACGAGAACGTGCTTGCCGTGGACACGACGGACGACGTCGACGACCATGACGACTGCGACGATGTGCTATCGTCGAACGCATGGCCTCCCGCCGAGTTGTTGGATGTGGGCGACGTAGATATTGGTGATGGAGCGTGGGGGATAGTGTCACTTTGCACAGCCTTGAGCGATTTGGAGCATTTCCTGCACACGACGTCCAAGCAGTACTATGTACCACATGCACATTCTGAAGTCAAGGACGAGGCACGGCGAACGTACCGAGCACCGGTACCGCCTTCTGAAGATGGAAAACGCTTCACGACACGTCGGGCACGACCTCACCGCATGGGCCTCACGGTCCATCGCGGACGGGCTCACAGGCATGGACAATGATGCTGGTCGTCCTGCGGGGAACGAGACGGGCGAGACGGCGCTTCTTGCTGGTGGTGACATTGGGACCTGAATTCGAATGCGCTTTGGCGACGACGACGGCGGTTGGCTCCGTAGATGGCCACTGGTGCGGTCCATGACGACTCTCGGTGGCGGCACCTGAAATTTACCTGTGCGGTAACGCCATCTGGCTATCCGGATAACCAAAATAGGGTGCTGGCGACGTATCCGGAGAGTACCGTCGTGTCACATCGCGGCCAAAGCGAAATACTACTGGTACGAGTACTGTACGAAGTACGCATTACAGTACACCCGACGTTCTAGCTTCGTCAACGACTCCAGTCGTCTTACAAGCTCATGGTCAACATGCACACGCCATCTTGAACTGCCACGTGTAGAGGTAATAATATTGTGCATTTCACCCTAGTGTTGGCTTGTAGCACAAGCTTGTAGCTTGTACAGACCTGTATACGATACAACCTTTAGTATGTACTTCGAAGTACGTAGTATATATACTACGTAGTACTTCAGTACTACTGTACTTCGAAGTACTGTACTACCGGTAGTACTCCAAGTATGTAGTACTTCAAGTACTGGTATATGTTACTGTATATGTTTGCTGGGCTGGGCCGAATCTAACGTTTGGATTGGCACACATTCTACGACAGGACGTGATTTGATTGGCTTAGGCGGTTCTTTACTGTTAATCCATTCCGTTTAAGACATTCGATATCGATTCTACACTGATGAGGGCAATAGTTTCGAATCGATGTGACAATAGTATATTGTGTTAACGTTAGTTGTACGACGACCGCCGCTGCTTGCTTTCGAGGCGTGCCATGGCAATGTCAAAGAGAACCCCTCGTCGTTTAAAGTACAGTTCACTCAACCGGTTCACAAGGTGCAGCTTGAAGCCCGTGGCGACCATCGTGCCAAACGTCGCGACAAACACGATTGCGACCGTGTCGGACACGACTCCCTCGAGCAGGTAGTACACGTTAATGCCTAAAACAGGCACTTCTTCCAGCCATAGCCGCAGCAGCGAGCTCGCCACATCCAAATGTTCTTGCTCGATGTACCGCAACGAGGATTCGAGGCCAACTACACACACATTCAGATATTACCAACACTCAGAAAATGACAATCTCGTACAGATGATGGCGGGGATTTCGATACGCGTGCCACCTGCGACGACGACGCCGCCGCCGCCAATGTGGTGGTTATGGGTCGGAAACGAGTAGTCGAGTTCGGTGTTGGCGGCCACTTTGTTGTCTTTGGTGCAAAACCGGCGGTACTTGGTGTATCGAAGGATCATGGGCATCCGCGACGACAGCAACGACGGGAGAAACGCGACTTGACTGCCAAGTGCAATCGAGTAGAACGCGATGCGCGGGATGCTGCTGTCTTGACCGATGACAAACCCAAAGTAGACGGCGAGGCCGAGCCCGAGATTGGTCACATCAAGCATGGTTTGCACCACAAGCACTTGGGAATTGCGCCGTTTAGCGGCGTCCTTCTCCTGGACCGTGTACACCTGGAACGTATCTTCGCTGACCGTGTCCTTTTGTCGGTCAAACCCGGCAAAGAACATGCCCACGAGCCAATATGGCGGCAGAAACATGCGAATCAAAAACGCTAAGCTGCACGCACTGGAGAGGCAAATCGCGCCTAGAATGGAAGGTCCGTACGGGAGTGTTTTGGACGGCGACGACGTCCCAGGCGATGATGAGGACAGCAGGGTGCTCCACGTCACAGGCGCGGCGGCGGGTGGCTGGCTGTCCGTGTACACCAATGTCGACCCGACAGGTGCAAACGTGCCCAGGATAACCGCGACCCCCCCAGAGGCAGGCACGACTTGCAGCTGGAAGAGCGGGGCCCTCGTCCGTTGTATCCAATCTATGGCGCCGGACGCACCCGTGTGCGCCGAAAGGGCAAACGACGATGGTTTTTGGCTACGACACGCTGTGATGGTCGCGTCGTACATGTAGGCGGAGGTGACGGTTATAGGTTGGGTGAGGTTGGTGGAGGGCGATTTCGAAAACGCGATCGATATCAGATGGGATGTGGATTGAAAGAGTGGGATCGCTCGTAGGAGTAAGTCCAGGTCGACGGAAAGCCCAAGCAGCGCCACGGTGGACCGCTGGGCCATCGACACAAACGATGTCACAGACATGGAGGGTTCAACATCGAACGCGATGATCTTGACCTCGGGGGTCGCGTGCACTGCGACCAGCACCGCGGCGAGGGTGCTGGCGTCGTAGAAGAACCATCGGGCGGACGGGACGACCCCCCGCAGCGATGCCAACGTCGAGACCCAGTCGCTCGTCCATGGAACTACATACGCCACGGTGCCACCTCCCGTGTACGTTTTGGCTACAAGTTCTGCTGCGAGGAGCTTGGTCGAGTCGGGGGGAGCTATTTGATACACGCGGTTGTATATATCATCGGTGGGTACGACGTACGCCCCACACCCGGCAGTCACTTGTGTCCACTGCTGCAGCGCTCCAAATGGAACGCTGTGCCGACAGGCTTCGGCACATGTTGGCCCCACGACGGCTGTGACCCGTTGCGAGGCAAATGCTTGGAGAGCTACGAGCGTCCCAGTTGCGTTGCAACCTGTTTCAAAGACCACGGTGGTCACGTTCAATGCAGGGTCGTCCAGCGATGCGTCGTGGATCGCACTCCACACGGCTTGTTCCAGAGTCTCGTCGGTCAACTGAGGCACGAGCACGCCTAACACGACATCGTACGCGTATGCTGTGGGTAGCCCACGGTAAACAAAGAGGCTGGCTAGTACGACCGCGAAGGTCTCCATCCTACGGCGGTGTGTACGCTGGTGGCCGTTTTTGCTCGTCGTCGGGTCCGGCTCAAAAGTTTATTCTTGGCATACTCGTACTATTCGTTACGTACTTTGCAGTTTCGTTCCCCCGTTTCAACTGTCCCATAATACTTAAAAACAGATTTCAAGAAAAAACCATAAAAAAATGCAGCTAATTGTTGCGAATTTTGCATGGATTTACGACCAACTATTTCGCTAATTTGAACGAAATTTGGGTATGGTGAAGGGTGGAAATTGGCTATTTTGAACAATCGCACATAGAATCACCCATGGCCGGAGACACCACCGACGGCGCCGCGCATCCTCCGCCGCTTCATGTGGACTTGTCCAAACCATTCCAAGCACGCGTTCCAAGTAAGCTTGTCGATGTGCATGTCGATGATCTCTAGAAGATTGCTCACAGGGCTGTGTAGAATTGGTGTCTGTGCATCCTCCTTCCATCAACAGCACCACGTCCGAGCCATCGTTAAGTGGCGGTCGGAACATTGTCCATGATAGATTGACATGTCTAAAAGATGTAAGGTAGATGACTTCCCAGTCAACTTGCTCGCCCTCCTTCCGCCAGATGCATGGGATCGGCTGAGCTTTGAGGAACAGCAAGCCCTGTTGCCAGACTTGCCGCCGTTGGATGGATGGTGGGACTTGTCTGGCGATGACGCGACGGCAGAGAACCTCCGGCAGCTGTTTCGCGGCGGCAATTTCAACTTCGGTAATCCGTTGATGTCGTTTTACTTTCCCAGCGAGTCCCGGACACGGGCTCGGGCCGCGGCGCGCGCGGCGTTCGACGCGCGAAAGCGCGTCTTCACCAAGCAACTGCTGCAGTCAATCATTCAAAATCGATCGCAGTGTCTCAAACAAGTGCTCCCCGCCGACGAACTGGCGCTCAACCCCGAGGTATGTATCTTTGTAGTCCCCTGAACACGTGCTATCTGTAGTTGTCACATCATCCTAGCTCGACATTTCAGTGATTCCTCCGTGTAAAGCCGCCGTCGACGACGTGGACCATTCGTTCTTTTTGGCCATTCGACTCGCATTGACAGCATCAGGGCATGGCGTCGCCGTGGATGCCGTCGCCGCCTACGTGGAGACCCACGCCCCGCGCACGATTCCTCCCATCTCAGGTACATGAGCTTCCTTCCTACTTACGAGGCATGTTGATGATATTGACGATACTGTGTTAGAACGACCGCAGCACATGCAGGTTATCCATTACGTCCACAGCGCGCTGCTGTTCCTGAGTCGGCCCACCACGTCCGATCCCCCGTCACCCCATCAAGATGATCTGTCATGGAGCTTTCCATTTGTCAACCATGATGTCACCACAAACACGTTTACTTGGCAGCTTGAAGGTATATATATATATGTGTGTGTGTACAGTGGAAGACTGGTACTTGATTCATCTATGAAATCGTCACTTCAAAACGAGCTTTGTCAATATGCTTACTGCCTGGCTGCAGGGGGGGACAAAACCGAGACAGTCCAGCGATTGCTCTTGTTGGAGCGGCTGTTTCGCTCTCCATTTGACCTTGTGGACCCGTCGATGCGCCCAGTGCAGTAAGGAAACCTCGTCGCATATTCGTTGCATGTTGGCTTAAACACAACCCTTGTAGGTGTGCGTTAGAACTGGCTCGAAAACGGCATCCTGACCTTGTTGCTCTGTCAACACCGCCATTGAAGAAACAGCTCAAAGTAACCGGTGCTGGGGACGACGCTTTTCATGCGGCCGACCCGCCGCCGATCGCCCCGCCTTCGCTTGTGCTCAAGCGAGCCCACGTACGTGTTCATCATGTACCAGTTGATACAGTAGTTTGGAATGATTTGGTGGTGTGTGTTGTGCTTAGCTGCCGTTGCATCGACAGTATCCGTTGCTTCGAGATGCATTTCAACCGCAAGAATTGCAACGATACCAGCATCCGCACCAGCCCTTCATGTACGTTGCTGCTGCCCCGTCTCGCTAGTATGATTGTGGATTTTGTGCTTTCAAGTGAAATAGCGTGTTGTGGTTTCTCGTTGGAATTTAAATCGATTTGATTGGCTACCTCAGATGAGCTCAAAATTATTAGCCAATCAAAACCTTCTCAATGAAATTCAACCAATCAGATCGATTGTGGATCGGCGCGATTCGATATGCACCCCAAATTTGTATCAAATCGACAATATAATAGCGCTGCTTTCGTAAATCCATCGGTCGATTTGGTTTTTTTGCCCTGGATATTTATAATTTACACGAGTCGTTTTGATTGGCCAATTTGATTCCTTTTTCTGGGTTTGGATTGGTCGGTTGATTTTGTCTGACTCGAGGTGGGTTTTTTCTGCTCCTTTTTTCGATATGGACAATATCGTAGTAGTACTATATTAATAGTAGTTGTACTATATTAAATACTGTAGTAGTTGTACTATATTAATCGTAGTATTACGTTTTACTGCTCTTCCTACTAACTTTCGATGGGTGATTGATTGATGGGGCTATTTGTTGTAGCTACTTTGACGGCGACTCGGGCTTCCAAACTCTTGTGGGTCCATGCTTTCCGCCCCTCCAATCGGATCGCGTCGCATCAAACGTGTTGTTGCCGGATGTGGCGCCGCAAGTGACCGTGCTCAACGTCGTGCGGGATGCCGTGGCCCGTCTGCCATGTCAATGCGGCACCCGCGCCGACGTCTTGGCGCTTCTTCGCATGTCCATGTATGTACGACGATGTCACAGGGGGATGTCGAGGAGACATTGATGAGTGAGTGATGTGGCTGGTAGGTTTGTCAACCCTGCGACGCCCGTGGAAGACCTCGACAGCGTAAGCTCCCATTCTTATGACACAATGTGTTCAATATTGATCATTGACAAGAACAAAGCAAGGAGAGATGAATGGATGGATGGTCATGGCGATAAATATGTAGGCGGTAGCCAAAGGATTGGACACGCTAGCGTCCACCGTGCCTCCTTGCGCGTACTTTCGCTTTCACAACGAACATCAGGCGTGGCTATGGCACTACGCTGCGCCGCCTGCCAGTCGACCGACCTAAGCATACATAACACGCTCCCTCCTTGTATCATTGGTCTGACTTCTCCATGTCATGATGTCAAAGTGGATTTTGATTGCCCATGGAACATTCCCCTTCGATTCGCATGGATGGGGAGTGATGGTCATTGGGAGTACAGAATGCAGAATGCAGGTTGACCACGCAATGGCCAGAAAATTCCATTTCGGCCTTGGTTGTTGATCCCGGATGTCCACGTCCCCTGCGAGTAGTACCGGTAGTGCGTCGATTGTGTCGGCGGCGGCGTCGGCCGCCACTGCACCCGACAATGTCAACCGCACACATAACACTCCCAAGAAAGCACAGCCACGCAAGAAGAAGCAGCAGCCGTCCCAACAACTTGTTCCATCGGCCGCGGTAGTGCAAGCCAGCGTCCTTCGACCTAACGCCACCGCCTTTACGCCTCCAACTGGTGCAGCGCCGGACAAAACCCGACATGGAAAGAAACAACAGCCGCGACAACCCCGAGGAGGTCGAGGGGCCACAGAGCGACCTGTCGGACCTGTGGCACATCGTTCAACCTCGGCCACAACGGCCGAAGCGACTCCAGCGCCTGGGACAACCACCATCCCACTTTCCAAACCTTCAAACACACGACGTTCGCGCGGCGGTCGGCATGGTCGCACACCCAAAGATGTGTCTGAAACCCACGACATTGACGTTGACACCGAGTCCACGACGACTGGTGCTGCTACCTCCCTTGAGTTGTGTTTGGTCTGCGCTGAACGGTTTCGATACCACGCGATTGGGGAATGCAACCACTACGGTATCTGCTCGACCTGTTCCATGCGCATGCGTCTGTTGATGAAGGACTTCAACTGTCCCATCTGCAAGCAGGCCAACCCGCGCGTGATCGTCACCGATACGGTCGCGCCCTACGCGAGCTTTGGCATCTGGGGCGACACGGGCGGCCCTGGTGTCCTGCTGGACGACCGCGCTGACATGTTCTTTAGCCACTGCGAAGCCCATTACGAGGCCCTCGTGCGCCGCCGCGACCTGTACTGCCGCCGATGTCCAAAGTCCCACCGGCCCAAGTTTCGCGTGCTCGAGGAACTCCAGCTGCACATGGAGAATGACCACGCAATATACTTTTGCGACCTGTGCGTACAGCACCAGCACTTTTACGTCGGCGAGTACCCGATGTTTACGATGAAGGAGCTCATGCTCCACCAGACCGCCGCAGTGTCGGCCACGGCCCGCGCGCGCCATCCCCTCTGTGAGTTTTGCCATGTCCGGTACTACAGCGACGTGGAACTGCATGTGCATTTGGAACGCGATCATTTCAAATGTCACCTCTGTCCGGACGTCCAGCACCGGTATTACCGCAACTAGTACGTACTACTCAATGTGTCTATATGGATCCCTTGCTTTGATTCCAGTCAAACAATGGTGGTAGTGTGGAGTGTAGCGTGTACTTAGTAGTTTGTTGGTGGTATGGGGCTTATAGTTAGTTGGATATTTGTGCGCTGCTTTACCAAATCCACTGGTGGATTTGTTGTACTGGATTTTGTATGGAAGCTATGCACACTATTTGAAGTCACACACTATTTGATGGTTGCTGGAGTTTGATTGGCCAATTGAAAGTGTTGTGGCGTTTGATTGGTCGGTCGATTCTATGTCTGCACTCATTCGATCAAGCCCCTCCAAGTTTGACAATATAACCGATGGAATATGTGGTGGTGTTGTGGTTTCTTGAAGAATATTCCCAGTTGTTGCTGGTATTGTGGTTTATTCAAACTTGAATAAACCACAATACCAGCAACAACATTTACACTCGCTGGACCTGCGAAAGATTGTATACAACTAAATTTCAGAGGTATCGTTGTGACTGCAATTCGTTTCACTTTAGCCAATCCGATTGCAACGTTTATTCGTTCTCGCCAATCATACTGCTTTGCTCGATTTCATCGATTGGCCAAAATGTTAACCGCACACACAATATGTTGGTGTTGTAGCAAAGGCTTGGAAACGCATTTTCGACGCCAGCACTTGTTTTGCGAAGATCCGTCGTGGTACGTCGTCGCATAGAGATGGTTTTGCACACGTATTTAAGCTGACGACAGACGATACTTTATTGTAGCATTGCCAAGGGATTTGTCGTATTCCAACATGACATTGACTTTCAAGCGCACATGGTGTCTGTTCACGGGAACCACGACAACCGCCTTCGCATTGCGTTTACGGTGCGTCGGGGCATCGAAGACGACGTGTCGTCGACGACGGGAGGGCGCTTCAATGACACGTGGGAGTTTGGGGCCCCGCCGCCGTCGGCTTCGTCGCGGCAACGCGAGGAATTCCCTGCGCTACCTGCCGCGGCTCCGTCCGCTGCGCCGGCGCCTGCCACACGACCGCCGCCACCACCGACGATCCGTCCTTCGGCTGTTCCCGCTCCGTCGGCGTTGGTGCCCCGCGCAATGCTGACGCGGAATGCCCAACTCGCGACCGCGTTTGGCCGAGGGCCCAAGACGGACGACGCTTTGGAAAAGGAACTCGAACCACAATACTCGCAAGAACTCAAGGAGTGGGGCCGCGTGAAATTCCGGACGCTTGTGGCTGTGGAAAAGAAGATCCAAGACATGATGGCCGACCGCGCATGCTTTAGCACTCATCTAAAGTCGATGCCTCGGGAAATGGTATATATGCGCATATTGTGTACTTTTCACCCAAATTTGGACTTTTGAGTCATTTTCACCAAATACAGTATAGCGTTCAAATCCATTGCATCACATTTCATATCTTGTTCAAACTATACTGGTAGTATTATATTGTCGTATTACCTAAAATTTGGTTGACTTTTGTGCTGATTCTTTGCCCAATCTATCGATATTCCTTCTTCTGACTTTTGTATCCAAAATCTTCCAGTGTCGTCACACTAATTCATTCACACACTAATTCGATGTTGAATTGGTCGAAAAGTGGATTTGATTGGCTACTTGATTCGTGATCTGGGGTTTGATTGGTCGATCTTTGATTGTGTGCCGATTTGGTGATTCTGCTCATTCGATTGAGCACCCAAACTCTCCAATTTTGAATCGAGTTGACAATGTAACATTTCGTATACCTGATTTGCCTCATGAATTCGGACGTTTGGATTGGCAGAAATTCGACAACTACGTGATTTGATTGGTCTAGACGGGTCTTGAATTCAATCGCTTACAACATCATTCTCCAGTTTCAAATCGATTTGACAAGATGACGTGCATGTAGCGACGGATGATCCACGAATTGGCAGTGTTTTACGGTCTCAAGTCGGAATCCCGCGATGCCGAACCCAACCGTTTCATCTCGTTGTACAAGCTGCAAACGTCGACGCTGCCCCCAACTTCGCTATCCAAATGCCTCCTGGACGAAGCCCAAGGACCCAAGCGACAGACTCGCCGGGCACGTGTGTATGTAGATCGCAACGTCAAGCTGCCGGAAGGTCGGGGATGGGAAAAGGTCTCGGACGTGCCTGTGGTGGCAGCTCCGCAGGAACCCAAGGACGCGTGGAGCGACGAAGACGACGCCATTGAAGACGTCAGTGCCTTTGTGCGGCCTGAAGGCAGTTCCACGCGGCTAGAGTTCCTTCGCCGCACAGATGGCCACGTGTCCGAGTAGAAGGTGTCATACGTCCAAGTAGATTATGGACGTTCGAAAAATGATTTCGCGCACAATTTGTACGTGTTCCGGATAATCAACCGGAACTTACACGTCAACTGCATCCTTAGACTAATGTATTGAGCCAGAGTGAGCACGCTACTACATAACGGTGTCTGGACTTGAACTTATGTACCAAAGTACAGAGACACAGCCACATCCAACATCCAACGATCGAGCCCCCCATCTGGAAAGTGCTCTCATCTCCGTGTTTGAATGTTCCCACCAGCCAAGACGGCTGCCGCTGCCCATGAACTTCTCTGAAGGACAAGCAAGTCACAACTTTCGAGTCCTTGTCGCCATACCACGATAGTATAATCGATCGATAGCTGAGTGTGGACGCATGCTAAGCTTACTGTTAACTATTGCGCCGCATAGCAACAGTAAGCGGCAATGTTAGGGCGGGGTTTCGGGGTTTCAGGGGTTTCATGACTATCCAATCAAACTGCATATCCTTGTATATTTTGGCCAATGAAAGTGGACGGTAAAAAGGGTGCTCCCCAATATAATTCGTTTTCATCGACTTATCTTGTCAAATGTATGTAAATTAAATAATTTCACGAATACTACTACATTGGACGCGGGTAGATTCGGCATAGATTCCCCAAGCCAAAATTGACTCGCCATAGATTTGGTGCATCTTGCAGAGTACACAAGGAGCACAATCTCGTTCGGCGCATCGCCCTCGTATCTTGGCAGTACGAACGACGAAGATGAAGTTTGGGAAGGAGTTGCTGAATGCGGTGAACCAATCCAACCCGGAATGGGGTCCATTTTGGATGAACTACAAAGCGCTGAAGAAGCGCATCAAGGCCGTGGTGAAATCGGCGCCGTCGTCCCCCACAGTGCGGGCCAGCGTGGACTCGGAAGACCTGCGGGAAGTGGACTTGACGCAGTGCCAAGAAGAAATCGACTTCTTCACGGAACTGCGGGACCAACTGCGGAAACTTGCCTGTTTCTACGTCGCCGAAGAGAAGCGGTACCACTTTCGCTTCCAACAACTGCAGGCGGTGCTCAAGGACATGAAAAAGAAGGCCGAGATCGACGAGATCGACGCCAAGCGACTCATGGTGGCCTGCGTACACTTCTACGGCGAATGCATCCAGCTCGAGAATTACGCTGTGACCAACTACCAAGGGTTTTCCAAGATTTTGAAAAAGCATGACAAAATGACCGGCCACAACACCCGCACCAAGTACATGCGCAAGATGGTCAACCAAAGTCCATTTGCCAACTACCCGCAGCTGATTTCCATCTTGGACGGCACCGAGCGCATGTTCACCGAGATCCCCGTCGGCGATTCCGTCATGCAGACCGCCATGTACATGGCGATGATGGGGCAGGCGAGCGCCCCCCGACGAGACTCATCACAACCGTCAACCATGGAAGTGGACTCGTAGACGACGGCGGCGGCGATGGAGCGCACCAACCCCCCCCCACTTGTTAGCCCCGAGTACTACCTCCTACTACTTTATACCCCCCCATCCCAACCACCGCATGGTGGCCGTGGGTGTTGTTTCAATATATTTGGCATGTCCCAAGTTGTGTATTTCCTGTCCATTCATCCTCCATTGCGTTATCAAGGTTCGTGATCCTAGCCCACTTGCAAGTATACAGTATACTGTACGTACTGTACATATCCACGCGCTACTTAGATATGCAATATTAGCTCATACCAAGCCAGTATGATGATGTACTACGTAGTATATGATGCACGAGTGGTTAACGTATAATTAATGTAGTTAAACCCAAAAACAAAATACGTTAAATACCGATTCATGCGTTTTATCACTACAGTGGGAGGTTAAAGGTCCCAACTGCCTCCGGATATTACATACGGATAAATGTCACATACAAAAATCGAGATACATCTCAGTGGCCACCTCTATGGCCAAATATCCAAGCGCCCATGTAAAATACCGCTAGGTTAAATATCTATTTCTGGACCAATTCATCACCAAATTTGAATCTGAGACGTAGAATTTCTTCACCACATTGAGATCTGTCGATTCTACGTCTCAATTTGCTGAAATTTTGAGTACTGAATATGAAATAGAAGTCAGAAAATTTTGTGAAAAGTTGGTAGTTTATAGGTGACGAGCATCATATAACGTTAACGTTAATTTATATCATGTTAACCAAGCTTGACATTGCAATACATACAGTACTGGCTTACCCAATACTACTGTAGTATAGCCATAACGTTAGCTCGAAAAAAAACTTTTGAATAATACAAAAATTTATTAAAAAAATATACAAGAAATGAACGACCACCAAAAAAATATATATACAGAAAGATTATTCGCTAAACAACAATTTAAATTATTTTACGCCCATCAAGAGTATATATATACTGTAGTACTTCGAAGTATATTATACTAATACTCGTAATATATTTGGACGATTGATTACGTGTTTGTCGTTCTCTCCTAAGTCGAAACCACTCGATCCGTGTCTTTGGTCGTACAAAACCTACGATAGCGTCGCAAACGGATCCGACAGAGTGGGCCGCTGCTGTCCGCCCACCTTTGGAGGGGGTACATTGGTCATGTTGGCCATGAATTGTTGCTGGGGAACGCGGGGCTGGACTCCTCCATTGAGAGGTGGCGCGCCGTACGTGGCATATTGGTTGGGCATTGGCGGGGGCACGATGTGCTGGGGAGGAGTGAACGACTGAAACCCGGGGTTGGCTTGAAACGGAGGCTGGTAGGTCGGAGGAGGGTACACGGGCTGCGGCAGCTGGAGCTGTTTGGTCGAAGATCCTGTGGTTGCCAATCGGGCTTGTTCCATGGATTGCAAGCTTTTTGTGCTTTTCATGGGCGTGAGCTTGACTTCGGGGTTCAAGTTGAGGTCGATGATTGGGGCTCCCCACAGTGGATCGGCCGGGGGGTCCACGACGGGGGCCAAGGGGGCAGAAAGGGAAGGAGGGGGAGGGGGTGGAGGGGGAGAGTAGTTGAAGTCGAGGCCGTGCAACATGGACGCAATGTTATCTAGATACAGTGTGACAAGACTATATTATGAAAAGATATTGTAAATTCGATTCAAAATTGGATTGGGGGAATAGGTCGACCAATCAAAACCCAGAACACGAATCAAGTGGCCAATCAAAAACACTCTTCAACCATGCAAGATGATGGAATTAATCAAAACCCCGAGCACGAATCATGTGGCCAATCAAAAACACTCTTCAACCATTCCACATCGAATTAGTGTGTGACTTATATTAGTGTGAAAAATCTCGACAATTGTTTCATACACTGATGGATACAAAATATAGGACAAACAATCGATCGACGGATTGGGCAAATCAACACACAAAGCCACATTTTGGCTGAAAGGTCGACAGCGTATGTACCAGACGATGGCTGCGTTTGAAACGCCGTAGGAGACGGCGCAAACGGGTCGGTATGATGTGTCGATGGCTGGCGGTGCGACACTTCTGGTTTGTCGAACGCGACCCACGACGAATCGGACGGCGCAGAAGGGGTTCCGAACGGGTTGAACACTGCTTCGTCGCTCGACAAATCGGTCGAGTGACTTCGCGCCTACGCCCGACAACATTATTAGTCGTGTACGATGGGTTACTGTACTCGAGTGTGTACATCTTGTACCACTGGTTTTTGGATCGCCACGTTGTCAGCGGACGGCTGGGCCTTGGTCGACTGCTGGCGAACAACTAAGCCAAGAATTAGCCACATCCTGGATACATACAAGCACCTGAAAACTTGGGCTTTGCAGTTCCACAGGCTTCACAAATGGGAGCGAGTGGTTTGTCGTTGATCAGTGTACAAGCAGAGCACTCCCAAGGCCCCGACGCCGAGTCCGTCCGGCTGGCCAAGTCCGTCGTAGAGGGCTCGCGACTAAGGGCCTTCTTGCCGCGAACGACGACAGGTTCCACCTTGGCTTTGATAGCGTCTTCGGGCAATCGTCGAAACGAAATGCCATCGACGATCAAGTCTGCCACGCACATGGGATTCGGCGTTTTCCAACATGGGATGGATATGACGTACCGTAGCTATCGTTCAGTTCGACGCTCGGCTTGATGATGCAGTGGATGACATGACTTCCAAGGTTGAAACAATGGTCCCAGTCACCCAATGCAAACTACAAGTCGCACACCACGTTAGGCAAGGACCATCCCGTGTACACATATAGGAGAGGGTGTATGTACCGTGGACGTTTGATGGGTTACAATGCCGTCGATACGCAGCACCTTTTTGCCGCTTGCGATGGAGTGGGTGAGGGAGATCTCGTATTCCTTGCCTTCAACCATTTTGATGCGCCAGGTGATGCGCTTCTTGGACGCTTCCAAGACCTTGCCCACGTTGGCAATCTCGTAGTACAGCCCTGCCGCCTTAGCGCCTTCGGCCTTACAGTCCCATCCAGTCCCACCCTTCACAGGTCGTCGGTGCATTGCCGCCGTCCGTTGCTATTTAAAACTGCGCCGCCGATATATTAACCCGACAATTTCGTGACCGTTTCAGTTTTCAGGATTGCTGAAACCCACCAGCGATCCGGATATTTCCGGACATACAACTATTTCAGATATACGCCTGGGTCAAAATATATACGTTTAACGTTAGTTATGAAGTATTTGATTTCAAACAATCACAGTGTCAAGCTTCCGCCAGCCATCTCGAGCCATCATGAATGTATACAACACAAGACTGGTATATATTCACACCAAACTCGAGCTAACAGGTTCGTTGTGATCTCAAAACGTTGAAATACCTCGATAACTGTTTCTTGAAAATGTCCAAGTATTTTGAATGTTGTAACCTAATAAGATCTCAAGTCCGGATATTTATCGAACCTGCCGGATAACGAAGTGTGAACCGTCGTCGGATCTTCCAAGCACCACAAGGCACATTTACATTTTCTTAGTGGTCACAACGTTATGGCATCCTTGCAAGTGCTCGTGAACGCTTACTTGCTGTGCACCATCACGGCATACCAAGATGGAATCTTCGTCGAACTGCTTCCCCAGTATGCGGCGTGGAAGCAGCTTCTCTTGCGCCCTTCATCCTTGTCGATGCCGGCAACGCTCCAACCAGCGGACCTTGTCATCTCCTCGCTCGCAGACAAGCGATACATTCTGCATGCGGCCGTCGCTCGGCATGACGTTAGCTGCGTGGAGCGTCTATTGCTCTGCTATCGGCGGGACTTGATCACGTCCGATTTGATGGCCTGTGCCGCGCGCCACGGCCACTTTGACCTCGTGCAGAGATTCCATCTCCGTGGTATCCCATGCTCGTCTAAAGCGATGGATTTGGCAGCCACGTACGGCCATCTCCAGGTGCTCACGTTTTTGCATGTTCACGCTGGAGAAGGTTGCAGCGACAGGGCGATGGTCGGCGCGGCGGAAGCCGGGCATTTAGCGATTGTCCAGTTCCTGCATACGGCTCGACCAGAGCAACCTACGTCGTTCCGGGCCATGGACTACGCGGCACGTAATGGACATTTCGAAATCGTGAAATTTCTCCACTACAATCGACCAGAAGGTGCGAGCGCCGTGGCGATGGACTTTGCAGCGTCCCATGGACATTTGGAGATTGTGCAATTCCTTCACACCCAACGACACGAAGGCTGCAGTACGTACGCCATGGACGGCGCTGTGCGGAACGGTCATCTCGACATCGTCCGATTTCTCCATGCGCATCGCACGGAAGGATGCTCAAAGAAGGCGCTTTTGTATGCGCTGCAACACCAGCTCCACGACATTCTTCCCATCTTGCGCAGCTATCATGGCCTCTTGCGTCCGGCATCATCGGCAGTCATGGTGGCGGCACGAGCCCGCGCCAAGTTTTCGCGTGTGCGCACGCGACGGCGGTACTTCCTCACAGCGATTACTGTTGGTCGGTGACGCAAGAAGGCATGGATAGTGCTGCTGTACATTTCCATTCGGAGAGGATGGAAATGTCTTATAAACTTCGCCCCCAATGTTCAACCACATGTTTCTTGTTGTGGGGTTGCCATGTCAGAGTGAGATAAAGTATGACCGGTTCAACACGATCAAAGCTACTACAGTACATATCGGAGAATCGCATGCTCAGCCATCGCAGGGCTTGCCCCAATGCGGCAAGGGGTCGCAGCGTCTCGTAGATCTAATGGAGCGTTGGACGACGTCATGCGCTTCAACCACATCCACCAACGTGCACAGCGAGATGTCCTCAACTTTTCGAAAGGCAGTCAATCCGGATATACGACCCGAAAACCCGCGAAAGAGCATACAAACATCAAGGTTAAAGCAAATGTGGATTCACCATCCGGATACACAATTGGTTTTGTGGATTCGATTTCAAGCCCAGTTCAGTGTTGAAGAAGACGGCCATCCTCAATGGCAACGACACAAGAGGAGTCCACGCCGCTGCTGCCGACGACCGTTGAGAAGCGGAAAGTCCGGGATCGCCAACGCCGTCAACTCATGTGCTTCGGTGGCGTTGCGGCCCTGGCGGCATGTGCAGTGGGCGTCTGGTGGTGGACAAATGAGACGCCACTCGACCTGTTCATCCCAGACGTCCCCCTCACGCCGTGGACGAGTGACGTGATGGAACCACCGTTCGAGAAAGAGGCCAATCTCATTCGACCACACTTGATCTCGGAAGACTTGTTGAAACGACCCATCCCCACGAATGCATGGTGGACGAATCTGCTGATCAGCGACTCTCACGGGCAAAACACAGGTTTGATCAATGCAACCCTTCCGTGACGGTTAATTCACCATTATCCAATTTTGCTACGCAGGAGCGGGACAAGTCACCCTTTCTCCGTATACCATCGCCAGTTGGCCCCACGTCATGCAGGTCCGTCCTTCTTACAAAATGTGTGCCCATCATAACGCATAAAATAGGTGTCGTACGGTGACGATCGACGTGTGGAAGAGCCGAGCAAGATCGAGGAATATTTCAGTGCCGACCTCACTTTCGGCACAGTCGTGCCTAGCATTTCTCGCGAAGTCGTAGCATTCGACCCTCTGACGGTGCACCTCCAGTACCGAAACGAGTCGAACGGAACCACGTTCACAGTGCTCTTGGCGCGAGGATCCCCGTATGTCTCCATCAACTATACTCTGAGCGCACCCATGATCACGACGACGTACTTCAACATCCTCTGGTGCAACAACGCGTCCATCTCCAAGACCCCCACGACCGTCGCCGGCTCGACGTTCACGGTCGTCACTCAAATCGAGCACCAGAAAACCCAGGAATGGCTGATTTTCTTCCCCACAAATGTCACCGTGAGCATTAACTCGACGTCGTTTGCTGTCCAAGACGAGACGTTCTCGGGTATGTCCTTTCTCGAAACATCACAACAATCGATATTACTCCTGTGGATGACATTACAACCTTCGCACTAGGCATCGTTCGTGCTGCCATCGTGCCTCGCAACAGTCCCGACGGCACCGCCGCGCACCTGCGCCAACATGCATCGATCGTCCCCGTCGCGTCCGCAGTGTCCCTGTCGTCCAACGTGACCACGGGCATCATGGAGTTTACGTGGAAGACCGTGGCGACGACCACCGACTCAATCGCGGCGGCGTCGTTGCTCATGCTGGCACACCCGCATCACGTGGACAGCCTCGTCCCTTCGGCCACGCGCAACCGGTCGTCAACAACCACCGTCATGCACTCGTCCAGTTCTGGCGATCCGTTCGCGTCCTCCACGCCCAGTATTCTCCTGGGACCGTTTGGCCATCGCACGATCAAGGGCAATATGTCGTTCGTGCTGGGCAACTCGTGGCTGCTCGCCGATACGTTCCAAGAGGTGGGCTTCAACTCACGGCATCCGATAGCCGCCGACGCCATCGCGCCGCTGTTGGTCGCGTTGAAAAACGACTCCAACTTCACGCCGCAAGCGCTGGACCCGTACTTTTTCGGCAAAGAAATCGCCCGCCAGGCGCGGCTGGTGCTCATCGCCGACGAACTCAACCAAGGCACGACCAAGCTGCTCGACCAGCTCGAAGACTGGCTGTTGCCGTGGTTTGTGGGCAAGAACTTTGACTTTTTCGTGTACGACACGGTCTGGGGCGGCGTATGTTCGGTCAAGGGCCTACGCGGCGTGTTTTGGATGACGGATTTCGGCAACGGGTGGTACAACGACCACGTACGTGTATTGTGTTTTAAGATGGCTGTATATGAGTGTGTGTATGATCTCTCCATGTCGATTTTGTCGGTTGGACCAAACAGTTGGACTCTTATCCTGCTTTGCGAAGTCCATGGATTGATTTTTTGCGCTGAATGTTGTTAGAGGTTAAAAAAGTTAATGTGGATTCCACTCATTTTAGTTGTGCGCCGAATCTGTCGATCGAGTTTTTGTACAAACAAATTTTGTAAAAATTGTCCAAGATTTACACTAATTTCAGTCACACACTATTTGGGTTAAAGGGTTGAACTGGTGGTTAAACATTTTAATTCTTTTTTTCTTCTTTTTTTTTGCTGCAATCGGATTGTCTAATTAAATACAACATGTATCTGCCCAACTTCGGTACATTTGATGCTGTCGATACATTTGGCAATGTGGAAAAAACTCAACCATATGTTGTATCATGTTAGAATATCTTGGTCTTATAGATAGTATATTGCTTTGGTGTAGCATTTCCACTACGGGTACTTTATCTACGCCGCGGCGGTGGTGGCCAAGTACCGTCCCGACTTTGTCCTGCGACATCGCGCCGCGCTCATGTCGATCGTGCGTGATATTGCCAACAACAGCCCCCACGAGTACGTATCTAACAGTAAATGCTACCCAATGACCATATTGTGGTGACGAATGACACATCGTGGTTGTTTGCATCATATATATATATATGCCTTGGGTAGGAAGTGTTTGATATGTGTGTGTCTTGTAGTCCTTACTTTCCGTTGGCACGGCACATGTCATGGTTCGACGGGCACTCGTTTGCTAGCGGCGTGTACGTGTTGGATGGCGGCAAGTCCCAAGAAAGCGTCTCCGAAGCGATCAATGCGTACTATGGCGTGTATTTGTTGGGCCAAGCGCTGAGCATGCCGGCGGTGGAACATATGGGGCGCCACTTGATGACGTTGGAAATGCGGGCGGCGACGACGTATTGGCAAACCACGGTACTCATGCTGCATGTTTGTTGTGGGATGTGGCCATTGTGCTGTTTGTTGGCAAAGTCGAATGGAAGGTTTTTGACCAGAGGATGTGACCACGATGGTCTGTGTGTAGGATGCGATTTACGGGTCAGTGTACGCCCAGAACCAAATGACGGGGCAGATTGGCAGCACCAAGGTCACGTATGCGACGTGGTTTGGGCCAGAAGTAGAGCATATGCACTTGATCAACTTGATGCCGTTCACGCCCGTGACCGAGTTGTTTGTGTCGGCCGCGTTTGTCACGAGGGAGTACCCGATCTTGGCCAAGGCGTTGCATCGACCAGCGGCCCCCATGGATGAGATCTGGAAAGGCTACACGTACCTGGACCATGCGATCGTCGACGCCAAGGCCGCGTGGGCCGAAGTGGCCACGCTGAAATCGTTTGACGATGGCAATTCCCGCGCGAATTCGCTGTATTGGATTGCCACCCGTCCCACCAACTAGACGACGACGCGCGAGGCTCTTGCGACTGTCGGAAGTATGTGAAGAAATATCCCTTGCATATATATAGGATATAAAAATGGCTTTGCGAGTGGGTCGGCGACAGTGATGTTGGATATATTATATATTACTATTACTTTGAAGTATTAATATTGAAGTATTAATATATATATATAAAGATGGCTTTGCGAGTGGGTCGGCGACAGTGATGTTGGACATATTATATATTACTTTGAAGTATTAATAAATACGGAGTACTACAGTACTACTTCGTATTACAGTAAGCTTAATAGGATTTACAGTCTGGTGAATACGGATAACGTATCCGTGGGGAAATGTGCGCAAGGGGTTCAAGATACACTAAATCCCTAATAAAACCAACGTTTTGACCATTGAACCATCATTCTGAAATCTGAAATCGAGGAGCCAACAAACAAACAGGTCGGCATCGCAGTGTGTCTGTCCCTCGTCCACTTGAATCACGTAGTTGGATCTACGCCTTGCCTCTGTTTTGATACTCAGTCCTCTCCTGTCAAGGTATTGTAGGCTGCTACAGCATCACCATGCGAGTCCATGTCACCACGTGCAATGCTTGCGCCTCTACTAAAGATCTCGTGCAAACAGTACATACCACAACGAGATTGTGCTTAAACAATGTCTTGTTAACGTATTATATACTGGCCAGTCAGTCGTTGTGGCCAGCTCGAAGTCCTTGTTGGAGCATGCAGCTAATTGAACTGGTCAAACACAGACTTGTCGAACGGGTCACCGCCTCGCAATTCACTCGCGAGCCCCAGCACTTCGTCCGCCGTGATGGGGCGGACTTCCCACCCGAGTTCGAGCGGCAGCTTTTCCTGTTCAAACACGAGCTTGAGCCAGTCCACTTTGATGTTGCCGGTCGAATCGCGGAGGGCGAGGAGCAGGAGCGCCGCCTCGGCGTACGCGAGAAACTGCTGCTTGGCATCAAACACAAACGCGTCATTATTGGCCTTGCTGTGCTCTTCGCGGATGGCGCGGAAGTGGCCGATGTGCGCCTTGGTGATGTATTGGCCGTCGGCGGACAGCGCCACCAGTTGGTCCAGCAGCGCCGAGTCGAGCTTGACGGAATCGCCGAGTCCGGCGTCAAGGCGGGTCAAGGACGCGTCGTGCTCCATCGCGTTGTGCTGGCCCAGGCTGGACAACGACAGCGTCTTGGGCGCTTCGGCATCATCCGCGGCGCCTTCTTCTTTGGCGGCGGCGACTGAACCCAACGATGTGATGGCCGACCCCGTAAACAACTTTTGCAACGCTTCGTCGACTTGGAAGATCGTGAGCGCGCTCTTGATGTTGTCCACCGTGATACCCGTGCGAGGGAGGAGGCCGTGGTTGGCAAATGCGTTCAGAAACGGACACGGCGACACGTTGGTGGCATCGGACTCCGTCCAATTCGTGAATTGATCCGCGCCGCCAGGAGTCGAATGTGCGCAGCCCTATATGGACAGACATGTGAGTGACATGATGGGTGGTGGTCCGACACATTGGCGTCGCGTCTACAAGGTAGCTTACCATGATGTATCGAGAAGAAGGGGTGGTGGGTGGGTGGGGTTGACCAAGAATTGGTTTCTGACGGCTCTTCGCCAAATGGTTGCCATTCTGAAACCGGTTGCACTGACCACAAATAGGCCACTCGTTAAGTGCGACATGATTTGCCAAAGGTTTTTGGATTAACATTAGCGTGCTCGTGCCAGGGGCCACGGGAAATACATTAAATTTAGCAGGTTCTGGCCGTTACTGGTCGTTTCATTTGTGCAGGTGGTTATTAGCTGCTTTTCCCAGGGAGAGTTGTGATGCTGCCACGTCACAAGCAGGTCAAACTCACAATCACCACGAATATGCGACTGATTGCATGCACATATGAACGTGTGCCCAACCTTACTACAATAATGTTAACCTACAACTTCCTACCTACTACTACTGTATTGATTGTACTGTACATCACCGCATATTTCAGTAGAACTGCTCCAGCACGCCCCACTCGAACGCTTCACCGCGCAATTCCCCGGCGAGGCCGAGGACATCCGCGATGCATATCGGTCGCGTCCTCCATTTCAGGTCGAACGGAAGCTTCTCTTGCTCGAGGACCATCCGTAGCCAGTCGACTCGAACATGCCCTGTGGAATCCCGCAATGCTAGCACCAGCAGCGCCGCCTCGCCGTATGCCAAGAACTGTTGGCGCGGCCCAAATGTAAACGCTGGGTTGTACGTCCGGCTGTGGGCTTCCCGCAGCGCCCGGTACTTGGCGAGTTGGGTCTTTGTGATGTACACGCCGTCGGTGGACATGCTGAGCAACTGCCCGAGCAACGCCATGTCCAATTGCACGTGACTGCCCACGTTGGCGTCCTGTCGAGTGAGCGACGCGTCGTGCTCAATGCTATTGTGGTAGCTTAGCTGCGCCAGGGTCAACTGCTGCTTGCCGTGCACGGTGGACCCGACCTTCATGGCGGTGGAGCCTGAGAACACTGTCTGGATCGTCGCGTCGCATTCCATCGTGGCAAGCGCGGCCTTGATGTCGTCACTCGAGATGCCACTGCGAGGCAGGAGGTTGTGGTTTGCCAGCGCGTTTACAAACGGACACGGCGACATGTTGGTCGGGTCGGTACAGTTCCACGTGGCGGCGGCATTCTTGGCCAATGGCTGAACCAGGTCGGACGCTCGACAACAACCGGCTCCCTACGCACGACCACACCTTCTTGTCATGTGCGATGACATTCGTTGTACACTACAGGCTCGACATATATGCATACCATGACGATGATGGGTACGACACTGGTGTATGTAGTAGTCTACAGCTAACGTTATATATCTGTGGCCCCTCGGTCGCCAGGACAATCCAACCCAGTTATATGAACGTTCGAGTGTCGCGTGGTGGCGGGGGTGTATTTATAGCTTTCGTTGTCCGCTTGCAAAACTCGAATTCCTCCACCAACACAGCCGGCCTACCGGTAGTTACTGTACCACCGAGCTCCCAGCCCTGTGTACAAGAGCTATGGCACCGTGAGCCACCAAATCCTTATATGAAACACCCGACGACAGAATGTGTTTGCTTCTTCGACGCATTGTTATACTGCCTTTGTATTGTGAATTCGCTATAAACTTCCAAAATTCGCTTGGTTTGTCTAATCAATACTGTAAATCACGCCAGAGTTCTGATTGGTTGAATATACTTGTCCATTCGAGCCAATCAAACCCACTCAAAAATGGATTAGCCAATAGCGTCGATTCGATTCGACGGGGTCTGGAAAATCCACAATATGTACAACCGGTACGTAAGTAGGTCAGACTTGGGTTGATAAGAATGGTGCTGTGCTGTGATGTGTGACAGGGTTAAATACATACATGTGCATACTACCTCGTACTTCTACTGTATGTGGACGGTTTGCATTCATATTAAATATATAAAGGCTCTCTACAAGTACAGCGACGCAGCAAATACAATGTCTCGCTTGATCTGCTTGCCCCCGAGCTCAAACTTTTTTTCGAGCTCGGCGTTGCCAATGCTGTGCGCCGCGAGCGTGAGCTGCCGCAACAATTCTTCCAGCCGCCGAATCAACCGGATGATGGACCCTTCAAACATGTCTGTCATTTTGCAGATCTGGCTGAACTTGGCGCCTTCGCACCACGCAATGAGCACGTCCACCATGTTGGTGTTGAAACTCGTCGCGTATTCCTCGACGTCGATCGTGATGTTGGCTTCCTGCATCGTCTTGGCCACGCGGCGAGCCGTGTCGCGCATGTTCAAGATCGGGCCTATAAAAAGTCATCAGTCCAGCCATCGACATGTGACGATGTGTTGACACAATCTCCATTTCCAATTCAAGCCCCCATATATATATGTATATATGTAATGCGTTCACAGGCAAGATCGGAGCGGGGTAGGTAGGTAAGTACTGGTCGTTTTGGCTTGGACATGACATGTAAACACAATCCAACGTGTCAACCCAAGGATCCAAAACAAGGATCAATATAATATAAACAACAAGGATCATCCATATAATTAATATAAACAACAAGGATCATCCATATAATTAATATAAATAACAAGGATCATCCATATAATTAATATAAACAACAAGGATTATCCATATAATTAATATAAATAACAAGGCTCAATACAATAAAAAAGATGATCAAGCTAACAACAACACAAGGATCAATCTAACAATATATAAAAAAAGAATGATCAATCCAATACAAAAGATGATGATCAATCGAATAAAATACACAATTCTCAATAAAATATTAACAATCAAAACGATGATTCATATCATCATTACAAAACAAGCAGCCCGCGCCACACACCATATATATATAATATATATATATTATATTTTTATGTTATATGTAGTATATATAATATATATATATAACATAACGAGATGTATACCTTCGAGGGTGTCGGCGGTGGGAGGCTTTTGACCTTCCTTGACCTTTTCCGTGTTGATCAGGCACGACAGCAGCGCCACGCACTCCTTGACGTTCAGGTCGTTGAACGCGCCGTTGAAGATGAGCTCCGTGACGAGTAGCTCGTCGGCCGTGCTCACTTCGCACGCGGTGCGGCCCTTGCGCTGGATCACGTTGTCGCCGTTCACAAACTCGAGCCGACGCAGCACGCGCTTACGGCGTCGCAGATCGTCCTTGAGCACGAGCGACTGGCTGTCCTTGATCTGGCGCTCCAGCTCGCGCTCCTTGGCTTCGCACTCCATCTTTTGCACGTACAGCGCAAACGACGACGAGTGCGACAGTTCCGGGGACGCCGCGATTGCTTCGGTCGTGTCGGCGATCTGGCGCACGATCTTTTCAAACGCAGGGTCGTCAATGTTCATGTCCTGGACTGGGTCGAGCAGCGGCACGCCTTGGGGGAACCGGCGCATCACTTCGGCCTACGAATGACACGAATAACACACAATAGGGTCAGTACTGGTCGAGAAAGAGCAATCGTATACATCCATATATATATATATATATATATATATATATATATATATATATATTGCCTAGTCGATTCGAAATTGGAGAGTTTGGGTGCTCAATTGAATGAGCAGAATAACAGACAATCAAAGATCGACCAATCAAAACCCACAACACGAATCAACTGGCCAATCAAATTCACCCGTCGACCATTCAACCCCGAATTAGTGTGTGACTGAAATTAGTGTGACGCCGGACGATCTTTACATACAAAAGTCAGGACAAAGAATCGATCGATAGATTGGGCAAAGAATCAGCACAAAAGTCCAAATATTGGGTAAAAGGACAATATATAGACGTATATCAATATATATATATATATATATATGTATATATATATATAGTGGTAGAAGGATAGAACCCCTCGTAGTACAAACAAACCATACTAAAAAGAATTTGAGGATGAATACTGTACTTGTGTTGTAGACATACACATACACACACACAAGCAACAAGTACACTAGCAACAAGTACTCGACACGTACCAGCGACTTGGCCACGGCGAGGCGGCTTTCGGCGGTGCGCAGATCCTTGGGAATGTACACTCGGAGCGACGACAGCTGGTCGATCAACGCCAGCGGCACCGGGCACACTTTCATCTCACTCTTCGGGTGCGTCCATGTGCCTTTGGTCGCCGGGGCTGGCGGTACTGCGTCGGCTGTGGCGGCAGAGTTGACGGCACACAGCAGCAGGACATGGACGGTGGTGGCGGCTTCGGACGCTTGCGCAGCGTTGGGGTTGGTAGCCAAGCCCGACTCAAAGTTGACAATCACGCCCCAGTCCCACGCTTGCGCCTTGTCTTCGCTTGGAGGGGTGTGCACCTTGACGAGTCGGCCGGGGTTTAAAAACGCCACAAGGTACTTGGGCTGGTTGCGGATGCGGCGCCAGTCGTCATGCTGCTTGGCGAGGGTTTTACTAAGGTAGTAAAAGGCGGCGACGGCGGGTTCATCGGGGATGATGAGCGTGCTCTTGTCCTGTTGGACGCGGGCGAGTGCATCTTCAAGCCCTGGCGCGGCCTGCTCGTTTTGAAACTGGTGAAACGACTGCTTGATCATGTACTCGGGGTTGGCGTCTTCGACCCGCAGCAGGTTGAGCAGCATGTTGTACCCCAGGTGAAACGTCGAAAACAACGGATCGGCTTGGCCGTACAAGATGCCCTTGGCGACTTGGGGTTCCATCTTGTCGCTGAGCATTTGAATCACAATGCCTCGTGCGTCTAGGGACCGCCGCCCCGCGCGGCCGCTCATTTGGATGTACTCGCCCGACGTGATCCATCGAAAGTCGTTGCCGTCAAACTTGCGGCAATTTGTAAACACGACCGTCTTGGCCGGCATATTCAGTCCCATCGAGAACGTTTCTGTGGCGAATAAGCACTTGAGCAACCCTTCGCCAAACATGATTTCGATGACTTCTTTGAGAATTGGAAGCAGGCCGCCGTGATGGATGCCAATCCCGCGGCGGAGCAGCGGCAGGATCGCGTCTACTTGCGGCAACGACTTGTCGTCTTCAGACAACGAGTCAATCGCGTTGCGAAACACTTGGTCGACCATGTGCTTTTCCTCGTCCGTGTTGAAGTCCAGCTTGGACAAGAGCAACGCATACGCTTCACACTCGCGCTTTGAAAAGGAAAAGATGATCACGGGGTCGTACTGGCGTTCCATCACGAGCTTGACGATGCGAAACACATCCGACCCAACCTTTTTCTTTTGGTTGTTGCCGCCGCCGCTGGAAGACGACGACTTTTTGCCGCCACCTTTGCCGCTAGGCGCGCCGCTAGTGTCGGTGGCTGTGCCGGCACTCAACGTGGCCATGGCCTTTTGAAAGTTGTCGTCGCGGAACTTTCCCTTCTCGTCCACGACCAGATGCAGGCCATCGCCGCCCGCGGGAAACACATAATGCTGCAGCGGCGTCGGCCGGTAGTCGGTATACACGACATGGCACGGCTGGTGGTGGATGTGCGCAATCCACGCCGCAAACTCTTTCGAGTTGGGGATCGTCGCACTTAGAAACACAAAGCGCACTTTGTGGGGAAGCAGAATGATGCTCTCTTCCCACACGACGCCGCGCTCCTTGTCGCGCATGTAGTGGATTTCGTCGTAGATGACCCACGCGACTTCGCGCATGACCTCGGACCCGCGGTAGAGCATGCTGCGGAGAATCTCGGTTGTCATGATGAGGCATGTCGCGGTCGGGTTGATCGTGATGTCTCCCGTCATGAGTCCCACGTCGCCAAACTCTTGCTCGAGGTCGCGGTACTTTTGATTGGACAGCGCCTTGATCGGCGACGTGTAGATCACGCGTTGCTTGTCCCGCAGGGACTTGGCGATCGCGTACTCGGCCACGGCGGTCTTCCCCGCCGACGTGTGCGCGCTCACGAGCACGCTCTCGCCAGCTTCGATAAAGTCCACCGCGGTCTGTTGGAACGGATCCAACGTGAACGGGTACGTCTTGGCCGGCGCGCGGTTGTGTGGGGCGGGACGTTCGTAGTTGGGCGGCAACGCACTGAACGAGATCAAGTTCTTCTGCTGCGTGCCCGTGGCCACGACGATCTCGTCTTTGGCCGACGCGTCGACGTGTTGGACAACTTGCACTTGGATGCGTTTCGAAGGAGGCGGCGGTTGGTCGTCGGATGTGGAGGTGGTGGGTGGCTTGCGCTTGGAAGACGTGGATGCTACAGAGGTGGACGTCGTCGACTTGTTGGACAGCGCGGCTTGCTCGACGTCGGTCAACGTTTGCTTGGCATCGTCGAACGCACCAAAGAGGTCAAGGTCGTCCATGATGCTGGTGGGATCAATCGGTGGAGATGAACGATCCAATGGTCGAATGTTGGCAAACTTGATTGGTTGATTCCAATACCCTCTTTCTTTCGATACTCCTTCAAAACCTCCAATTATCTATACTATAAATTAAACGACAAGAGTATTATATTCATAATATTAATAGTATCATATCCAGATAACCCTCCGGTAAACAAAGTCGAGAATTCAAATTCACAGGGTTATAGTCAAGATGGCGGCAATGCGAGCACGGATGCGCAAAGAAATGGAGATGCTGGAGAACGATCCACCGCATGGTAACTACGACAGCCATTCCATCATGGCGTCTCATGGGATGTGTTCGTTCTAGGTATATGCGCGTGGCCCAAGGACAACAAGTTGGACGAACTCGAAGCCCGTCGGTTGAGACTCGATCGTCGAATCTTGTGCTTATGTTTATTTGGACGTAGAAATCCAAGGTCCAGAGGGGACGCCGTACGAAAAAGGCATATTTCTATTGAGCATCACAATCCCTGAACGGTACGTTGCCATACAGCCATCGTCAAGTTGTCATGAGTACTAGGTACCCCTTTGAACCCCCGAAAGTGCAGTTTGTTACCCCCATCTTCCACCCAAACATTGACAACGCCGGACGCATCTGCCTCGACACGTTAAAGATGCAGCCCAAGGTACTGTAACCGCTCTCGCCCACGCGTTATGCGGCCATCACCTATGCCATTGTAGGGATCGTGGATGCCCTCTGTGAACCTCTCGACGCTTCTCACGACCATCCGATTGCTCATGACAGACCCGAACCCTGACGATGGCCTCATGCCTGAAATTGTACTTGACTTCGGCAACATATATACATATGACATTGTCCTTGGTAGACGGACCTGTTCAAGCAAAACCACGCGCTGTTTGTGTCCAAAGCCACTGCCATGACAGCTCAACATGCAAACGCGTCACATTCTACCCCCGCAAGGGCGTTGCATGCTGCAGCCCATAACGAGGACGAGTCCAAGCCAGCCATGTCATTGGCCAACGAGAGCAATTCATCGAGCAGCGACGACAGCAGCAGTGAGAGTAGTCAAGGCGAAGAAGCCAGTGGGAGCGATGGCGATGGCCATAGTGACGCTGATGTCGAACGTCCTGCCAAGCGAGGCCGGTTGGTTTAACGGGTAGCTGTAGTTTACCCTCAACAGTAGAACACGATGGACAAATTTGGATTTTTCAATCAGATATTTGGGGAAAAACCCTCCAATTTTCGAGTTTTCCGAGTTTTGGTCAATATGTTTTGGCCTTTTGGAAGTAAGAAGGGTGCCAACATCGATCCAAGCTACATGCTAGAGATTGCGCAAATGTGGGCACGGTCTGTGGAGGACACTCCCTTGTTCCGCGACTTTGGCCCACTCTTGCGTGTCCAGGGTATGGGAAAAATATTATTGACAATTCAATACAGAAACTAATATTACAATGATTAATTGTGCGAGATCCAAAAATATATTTTTACTTGAGCCAACAATATTTTTTCTTATCATTTGTCGTTAGACGGTGGCATCCCACGTGTCCGTAGGCGAGTCGTCCCAGTCAGCACAGAGTACGTTGGCCCATGTTTACACTCTTTTCAGATCAACGCTGTACACACACACATCCTGCGATCGCCGCAAGAGCCATCACGTGGCTGTCCTCATCCATCAGGTGCATTCTACTGCTTCCTCGTCCATTTCAACGACATATCTTTGCATGCATGACTGCTTATGTGTTGATGCATGTCGTGCTGGCGGGACTGTGTCGATTGCATGTCGCGCCCGTCCCATTATCCTGCTCAAGGAGGTAACGACGAGAGGACCCGTGGCAGATTTGGTCTATCTAGTACCCTGCCGACTCGTGTTTGCAACGTGTTTTATATACTATCGCCAACCTAGATTATGGTGCAATATGTAGTATACTGCAGTACTTGTACTATATTTTAAACGCGTTTGAAACGCGAGTTTGGGTCCTTGAAACGAATTACATGGTTGACGCTTTGTACGTTCGGAAGAGCCGATCCCAAATGCTGAATCGCTTGGCAAAGTTGACGCTGGGATGGGTATGGTGCAAGTCGTGGTCGTGTACTCGGATGCAAATGTGGACACATTGCACGAGCGGCATCTGCGGGAACGACATGCCCTTGATGTCCAGACCCGAGTGTCCCGCCACTTCCACATACGTTTTGTACGCCAAGAGCAGGTGCAGCTGGTGAAGCGACAGCGACGGACCGACCGCCAACGCAATGGCCATGGGCACGACGTTGGTCAAGATGAGATCCACAGGCGACTCTTCGTACGTGCTCAACGGCGACGGGTGCAAATGCATGTGGTGCTGCTTGTGCACGTACTGGTACAACAGCGGGATTTGGTGGCACGTGTAATGCATGCCAAAGTGGAACAGGTCAAACACAAGCTCGAGGACGAGGGATTTTGGAATGAAGTACACAAACTCTTCCAGGACACTCGTGTACGTGGTGGGGGTCGTCATGCCAACGTAGGACGAGCCCACGAACAGCGTCGCCATCTCTGTCGGCACGACCACAACCAGAATGTGGCACAAGATGGACAGTTGCTGCGGCCGCGTCAACATCATGCGCTTGGCACCGTAGATCTTGCCTTTGAACGTGGAAATCCACTCGAACCACCCGATCATACATGCCAGCCGCACAAGGATGCCGGCGTACGACCCGACGACGCTGTGCGGGATACGTGTCTGAACAAGCAGGGCGACGGCCGTCACTGCGCAAATGAAGCTGTTGATGATGACGTAGAACTTGAGTCGCCGCAGCAGCCACAGGATGTGCTGTCCTTGGAAGCAGGACACCATCGCGATGAACTTGCCAAAATGACACCACGCTGTCGTGTTGCTTTGACACCCACGGCAACCGCCAATCACAAACGAGAATGCAATTCACCAATAAGAATCGATTCTAAATCCACCAATTAAAAAGTGCTAAAAACGCCTTTGGCCAATCAAATGCAGCTAAAACTGCCAGTGGCCGTGTCGCGCAAGTTTGCGCATCCAACGTGGTGTGATGATGGTGATGAAGTCCGGAAGATGTAGGGAGTCCCTCGACGAAGGATGGAGGGTCAGCTGAACGAGACAAGCTGTGGATGTGAATGTCGTCCCAGCACCCTGAGAATGGTGTGCAGTGTGCATATATATATGAGACGCTGCATGCTGTGAGTGCGGAAGCAAAGACACGACGAGCATCGGCGGATGGGGCGGTCTCGACGCAACATCCACCCTCCTCATGTACGCACTCTAACAGTGGCATGAACGTCGTCGCCTTTATCTGTGGGCATTGCACAGTAGTACAGCAGTATGTACATGCGTTACAGTTGTGGATCCGTGTTGACTGTGGACATTTCGAACCTCACATATTTGAAATGTCCACACCCACCACACCGCTCGGGAAGCATTGCTTGGACCAGTCCCCATATCCAGCGTCATGCACAGACGAGATGCTAACTGTATTCATCGCACCTTTCGCCATACTCACTCAAAACAAGATCGATCGTCGCATTACATATTGCCATGCGATTCCACGCTCTTATCATATTCGTGCATGTCGACTGGTCAAGCGCGCTAAAGTATATGTACAGTACGTACACCACCAACGTGTGCATTACACAACGACACAACTCGGCGCGACGACCGACCGATTCGGCGTGGATTGTATGGACGACGACGACGACGCAGGATCATGTTGTGGGGGTAGTGTCGCCCGGTCTACCATCATCTACACGGGGTTGATGGTGCCATATCGCGTCGACTCGGTCAATACCACTTGGGTGGACGACGACGACGCCCGCGCTTTGTAGTTGGCGACAAATGCCGGCGTGATGATCCAGATGAGGCACCCGATGCAGAAGAAAGAGATCACGTGGCCACATACGATCGCGGGTACTGCGCACACCCAGTCGGCCGTGCTATGCACAGTCAGCGACGGCACCATGACCGTCCAAAGGATGAACAGCGCGTAGAGCGGCAGCACGCCGCGCGCCAGCACCCACGACCCAAAGGACACGTAGGACACGATCACATGGACGCGGCTGTGGGCATACCCGAGGTCTTCGAGAAACGTCGCGACATTCATGGGCACGACGCAGATTTCCACGAGTAAGTAGATGCTCAAGAGGAACGTGTCGGCGAGGCAGCTGCCGTAAAAGTTGAAGATCGCAAACGGAACCCTAAGGACACACACATGAGAAGCTGGTGAGGCATGGAGAATCAGCGTGCCACATACATGGCGACCAGGTGATGCGCGGTAAAAACCTTCCACTGTGGGACCTGCCAGTACGCGACAACGACCAAGTCATACAAAAAGTAAGCGATCGCTAGTGTTCACATGTGAGCGTGACGACGATACAGTCACGCATGAGAGATGGAGAAGACGTACACCAAGAGAAGAACGCGCGCGCGAGGTCCACAGAATGCAACGGGCGAAGCGAAGAATCCCATGTCTGTTGGGTCAGGCTATACAGCATGCCGATGCAGATCACAGTCGCATGTAACGTGGACCCAACTCTATAGATGCATAAGCATGAATGTACCATGGGCAGCGAAGATGGAGATACCTGGAGCACCAATTCGCGCGCTCGGTGGTCGTGTACGCCTTGTAGATGGCCGCGTAGCGAAGAGAGACGACGTGCGTTGTCCAGAACACGCCAACAAATACAACCAGACTCAAGCCTGTCACGCCATAGGTCACGAACTCGAGCGATGGACCTGCAGACGATGCGGCGGCGATGTCCATCGGTGGCGAAATACTCAAATGGAGAGGGAATGTTCGAAACTCATGTTGGAGAAAGAGAAAGCCTGGGCCAAACCCTCGAGTTTGTCCCGGTTGAACTGACCACCATTTCAACAACCGCCACGGATTTGGTGGTTCAATGCTAACAAAACGTGATGAGTTTCAGAAAAAGCGCCATTTGTCCCACGTCGACTCTGCCGTCAGGTTGGGACGCAGCCTGGACCATACAAATACACAGTATATGACGTGGCCGCACCATTTTGTAGCTCTTATGAACTGCTTTCTACGGCCACAGTCTACTCCTACTAGCAACAATGAACCTCTCTTGTGTACTACAAATGATGACCACAAGGCCTCCAACCTTAACCAATGGTGTATGTACGTACAGTATCATCTCCCATCACTCAACAAGTCTGCGATAACGTTAGCGCGTAGCGTCCGTCTTGCATCTTCCGAGACCCCGTGCAACAGCCGCCCTTCAACGACCGATTGGAATGCCGACAGTGCGACGATGCACACTATAACACCACAAGCTGGAGACAGGTATTGGTGCCCATGTGTACTGTATGTACCCCACACTTGTGTCCAGAGTCCTATAGTACCGGTATGTAACGTTACATCCTTTTACTCCAAATTTGGTAGACTTTTGTGCTGAATCGCCAAATTTATCGATCGATTGTTTGTACTGAATTTTGTATGTTGGGTATCACACTAATTGAAATCACACACTAATTTGACGTTGATCATGGTTTCCTGCAATCTGATTGGCTAAATTATTCTGCCGATTCATTCTCCATGTCGCTCCAGTTTCGAATAAACACAAAACAATGAGTACCATCCTACGAACGCAACGAAGTCTCTTCAATGCAAACGCAGCTACACTTGTATTCTTGTTCTCTAGCATTGAAGTCCTGATCTCGTCTGGTAACTACTTGGTCATGTGATGGTCATCTTGCTGGTTTAGAGGCGCAGCTTGGCCAAGTCCAAGTTGAGGCTGTTCACGTTCCACGTTACCACACGACCGTCCAAGCCCGACGTGGAAAACTCTGTCACATGGCCATTCGACGCCGCCTTCTTCAACACTTGGATGCTCGTGATCGTGTTTTCGTGTTTCCTATTCATTTATATTATTTACGTTCTCATTTATCTTAGTCGTTCATTTATCCGAATTTCACGCATAACATATCACAAAACCATATATATGTACACACGTACGTCCAGAGCGCGCCCTTGTCGCCCGACGTGGCTTCGGCCGACTGTCCACGGCTCACTTTACTGTCCCACAGTTTGCGCACTATGGACATTACATTAGACGGAAACAACTGGCTTCACCAGTCGTAAACTCGGTCAATGAGTATTACGAGGATGCATATATATATATACACAGAATATATATATATATACTGTTGTGTTTATTCTAACCTGGAGCGCGACGACATGGAGAATGAATCGACACAACCAAATAATATATGTACAGAAGAATCATCGACAGAAGTATTTAGCCAATCAGATTGCAGGAAATCAGCATCAGCTTCTAATTAGTGTGTGACTTTAATTACTGTGTATACCAAGCACCCCAGCACACGTTTTTACACACAAATTCAGCAACATTGAAAGAATCGATCGGATAGATTTGGCGAATCAGCACAAAAGTCGAATTTTTGGGGAAAAGAAAGACAATATATTGTGGATTCGATACGAATTTCCAGACTCCATCGAATCGAATCACGAATCGACGCTATTGGCTAATCCGTTTTTGAGTGGATTTGATTGGCTCTTACAGTACGGACAAGTATATTCAACCAATCAAAACTTCAGCGTGATTCAATATGGACTACACAAACCAGGCAAGTTTGTAGCGAATTCACAATATATAAATACCGTTGTTGAACTCGCTCTTGTCCACCTTGGAGGCGGTGGTCGCCGCGCTCTTCTTGTCGAGAAACTCCGAGAACGACCAAAAGCCTTGCGGGGATGTCGTAAAGAGGAGCAGGTTGAAGTCATGGCCACAGCCGACCACGGCATCGTTTGACAAGAATAACAGTCGCGTCAACGGCAAATGCGAAAACCGAACCGTCTAGAGGAAACAACCATATATTTATTATATGAGCATTGCACCAGAATTAGTTAGCCCTAAAACGAAATTGTCGAGTTCAGTCAAATTTCCCATGTTTCCCCTGCTTCATTCAATCGAGCACAAACATATCGGATACTATATCCACTTTGCCCTTTCTGGTCGAAATATATATAAAACACAATCCCAAATGATATATTGTAGCCAATCAGCGACAAGTACTTTCGGATTGAACAATGGGAGAAATTGGGGTTTCCGATTCGGTCGATTGAACGGCGTCCTGAAATTCATACCGAATCTCCGAAAAGACACCTGAAATTACACCAAATAACCCTAAAATGCAAACAATCCATACTATTGTCGATTTGATAGTACAAATTTGGGGAGGGGGTGCAATCGAATCGCGCCGACCAAACCGATCCACAATCGATCTAATTGGTTGAATTTCATTGAGAAGGTTTTGATTGGCTAATAATTTTGAGCTCATCTGAGGTAGCCAATCAAATCGATTTAAATTCCAACGAGAAACCACAACACGAAATTTCACTCGAAAGCACAATAAAGAAATATCGAAGTATTCCACGCAAAAGTCTTTCGAAAATGCTGCTCTCATCCCATGACGTGGCGCGCTCTCAATCCTGCAAGCCTGGAAGCTTGTATTCGACTAATGGAGCATACCTGCAACGTGGGCACTTCGCCAGGGCGACCAAAATGCACGAAATGAATGGATGAGCCATGACCAGTAAATGCCAAGCGCGTGCCCGATGGCGACCACACGGCCGCGGTTACCCACGAGTTGGCATTGTCGAATTCGGCCATGACCTCACCAAACGGCGCCATCGCCGCGAACGGACCGGCGTCCGGCGCTCCGTCGACGTCAGGAACGTATGCGGCGAAGACGCGGCATTGCATGTCCGTGGACGCGGTGAGGAGGAGCTGCGAGTTGGGATGCCAGTCCACATCGACCACCCTACGATGACAAATTGGATGGCAATGCGACGATGATGATAAGGGGAACAAGATCGAAGCGTACGTGGACTTGTGCTTTTTGATGACTTTGCTAATCCACCAGTTCTCCGCCTGCTCGTAGTAGCACACTGACACACACTTGGCGCTACTGCCGACCGCAAACTTCTTGCCTGCAATGGTGAAAGTTGTTACACGTGTGGGAATATGAATGGAGAGAGGGAGGACGCACCATTAGGGCTCCACTTGACGGTCATGGCAGCGCGGGTGATGCGAAGCACCACGAGCGACGGCTTCCACTTGCGTTCACTCGGCTCGTACTTCCATACAAATGCAGATCGGTCGTGCGAGCACGACACGAGCATATCGTGTACGGGGGACCAGTCTAGGCCGCTCACCACCATGTCGTGCTACAAATCAAGTCCCGCCGCATAGTCAACAAACACCATGGTACATATGCTGTAAGTGACGACAGGTCAAATACCTCTGTCAGCACGGCCTCCTTGCGCCATTGCGCCACGTCCACCGCTTGGCAGTTGGAGTAGATCCATATCTCGTTAGTGTTGGGACAGATGGCCACCTTGGAGCGGTCTCGATTCCACGCATGACACGTGATACTGTCCGTGAGGTTGAACACGCTCATGATGATGATCTAGGATAGAAATGGGGCCTGAATTTGGGGCTGATCTTCTTGCCAGTGTTCGGATAATAGTTAACCGGATTGTGACGGCGCCGACAATACTACTACGTAGTACTTCGAAGTACATATTTATCCTTGCGGACCCCTCGAAATACGCCAAAGAAAACTAACTACTTCAGAGTAGTTACTACCTCGAAGCAGTAGTATTATTTGGCCAAATCCATTTAACGTTAACGGAGTCTATCAATGGACTTTGAGCAGCACACAGTTACAGTACGTGATGTGGGTGGGGACAATGAGCAGCACATGTGTATCATGAATTAAGGACGGGGAAAAACGAATAAATCGATACCAATAACTTCTCATAACACCCGCCTCCGCTCACACTGTCTTGGAATAGCAACAGTGGACGTTCATCAACAGCCACGACCCGGACTTGCGTCCACAGCACGTGCGCCGACATCCCGAGTCAACGGAGGGGGTCACTTCCGATCCTCAAAGTTATTGGTATCGTCTACTTTGGAAAACAAAGTAAAGATGACTGCACTATAGAAATGATCCTGTTCAAGTACGGTCTTGGTTATCCGTACGCCATCGCTCGTAGGTAGCTACAACAGCAAACTCCCGGGAGTGAAATGACAGTTTTCCCAACCAATCACAAGGCTAAACACATGGGAATGTCGCGCGAAAACAATGACACTTCTTCAACCAGTCTTTCACTGTGAAGTTGTGTACCGGTATCTGCACTCGGAGTTGGGGAGTACAGTACTATTAATAGTACTACGTAGTATTGCCTTTGTGAAATGTGTGTGCCAGTTATGCTGTAGTACATAAGACCATACTAGTACATATTTGTGAAGACATGCCCTCCCATCGAACCATAGCTCCGTAAGTTTATGTGGACCGTTATTTTAATGACGCGCCAAACAAAAGGGAGAATGTATGGGGACTAAAAACAAATACCGGTACTTCCAAGTAGCACTTCCAGGTTTTGATCTACCGGTAGGGACCTTTGGGTTACGAGCCCAACACGCTTCCTCTGCGAAAAGTGCTCGGTTGATTGTCGTGTCCACACCCTAGTAGCGTTACACGTACTAACAGTAAGTTAGTACATGGAGACCATAAATACCACCTATCTTCTACGGCGCCATCCAAACATACAGTATATATTGGCACTTGTTCAGCTTGTCGGACCAACGAAGCATCTCATTTATTTTGCCACAGTTTTCGATTCGTAACATGATGATTTGATTGGGGATTATACGTATAGTACTAGTAGTACAACATACAGTACCTGGGGTAGTAAGCTTACAACATACCCGGGGTATAAAATGAGTGAATTTCACTGGATTCCCCGAAACACCTCTAAAGTCCAATGTTCTGAGCCAGAACGTTGATCATTTCGCTGTCATTCCTCAGTATCTACAGTTGGTGGAGTCTTTGCATATTTGCAGAGTTGTTATTGCGTTAGCAAGCCTTGGTAGAATGGTGTACTACACTGCAGGACGTCAGTTGGGGCTCACCAAAAATAATCTAATACAGTAGCGTTACTATTACTATTAAAATAGTAACGTTACTTGTAGTGGTAGTACGAAGTAGTATTTAAAATATTTTTTTATTCGAACGGAAAATAGATATTTTGCGCAACTGCCAAAATAGAAAGTTTACTTTTCCCAACATCAGAACCAATAGATTAAACTACGTAGAACAAAGCCAAAATATGATAGAATCTATTCCAAATGATAGGAAAATTCTCAATAGTTCAAACTCAAAATGTATTCGGATGTAACCGTTGGAAGTATACGGACAACCAAAGAAAAATTGTTTGACGAAATATATTGTTTCACCCAAATGCCGCCACTCGCATCGCATCCGGTCTCCTATTGTGGCTCACTTCGACCTCGAAATGGTGCGACCAAATTTTCAGTCAATCAGCGAGCGTCACGTGTGATGGTCATTTTTGAGTGTGACAGCCGTTTGGCTTGGCCAAATGCGCAAAATCAGCTGAAAGCCTTGATTATATATAATGCTACCTTTCGAAGGGCGCTTACAACACGTCAATTCCAGCGCGAACTTCAAGATTGTTGAAATATTCAAATAATTCGAATATTGTGCTTTCGAGTGAAATTTCGTGTTGTGGATTTCTCGTTGGAATTTAATTCGATTTGATTGGCTACCTCAGATGAGCTCAAAATTATCAGCCAATCAAAACCTTCTCAATGAAATTCAACCAATCAGATCGATTGTGGATCGGTTTCGTCGGCGATTCGCGATTCGATTGCCAAATTTGTATCAAATCGACAAGACCGTTTCTCACAACTAGTACGTAGTACTATGGTAGTACTGTATCAATACATACTAGTAATAATATATAAGTTCTTTATTTGCCCCATGGGGGGAAAATAAGTTATCTTTACATCCTCCAGAAAAGATACGTAATCCATCAAACCCATTCGTTGAGAATTGGTAAAAAATAGAGATTTGGGAACCCCTGGCTGTCAGAATCTCTTCAGGACTTCTCTGGAAGAACTCGGTTGATGACTGCATCATTTCCATTGCAAATTTGGCATGTGATTTGATTGGTGGAGAATAACCAATCCATGGACACCAAGAGTGTGATTGGTGGCGTCATAGCTCGCCCCAACAATTTTGATCGCATAATCGCCGCGGAGAATCTTTGGTCGACCAATCAGCGCTCGTTATTCTACCCAATCGAAACCACGCAAGGGGCAAAGTCACGCTTCTACCTATTGGGATAAACTGAATGCGTCCGATGTCCACATTTGAATACTAACAGTAAGGTAGTACCTATTATAGTACGTATACCAACCAATACGTAAGTCCTTCCTTTCACGTTATGTACACAAAGGCAGGATCTTTCCAAATGGTGAAAGAAGTCCTAGAGCTCAAACTACAGTCAGTATAGGTATGGAATGTACGTCGTACTACTTACTGTATCCCGTCCGTATTGGCTATCAAGGGGTTTTACAGTACTGTATCCTCCACCGAATTCGAACGCTAATAAAATATCCATCTTTTTATTGCTTTCACAGGGAGATATGATACAAACATTCAATGAAATGAAAATAATGAATAAAATCTTTCACATAAGATCGCGCTTTGGGACAAACCGCGTCAGTTGGCGACACAGGTGTGCAATTCTGTTCATGATGCTTCAGGTAACTTGCACAGTGTACCCCATAGATGTCATTTACCTTTTTCGCTGTTCCAAGCTATCCACCACCGTTCTTCATGATCGCTTCGTTGTCGTCTTCCATACGAAGCTCCATCTCTTCGCAGACCCACCTTACAGTGGATGCTGCCACCGACTTGTGTCCCTGCGCGTCGGCGATGGCGTGCAAGGCCGCAGTCTGCTGTCGGTCGCCGACCTCCATCGATCGCGTGTGCTGCGCGACTTCGTCCCCATCCGCGTCGTCTTCCTCGTTCTTACCCGCCAAGCAACCAACCCCCCCGGCACCACTTCCCAACGCAACGTCGTCGGATCTCCGCATGCACTCGATTGCGATTCCATCTGACGTCGGACAAATCGACTACCTCGACGCGTCATTGCCGTATGTGGCCGTGTTTCAGGAGCAAATGGGCACGTCCAAGGTCGCTCGCGGCCCAACATCTGCCTACTACACACTCACCGAATCGGGCCAAGCAGGGCTCGAGCACGCCACCGACGAACTGCATCGCATGTTTGTCCATGCGACGCAGTACGTGCTGGACCACCAAGCCGAGTTTGCGCCACTGTTCCACTTTCCCGCGTCCCTCTGGCCTAAGATCCAGCAGTCGTGGGCCAGTCGTTCCAAGGACGTCGTGGCCGCTCGCTTCGACTTTGCGTTGACCCCTCACGGACTCAAGACGTACGAGTACAACGCCGACTCGGCTTCGTGTTTGTTTGAGTGTGGCCACAGCCAAGACAAATGGGCCGACGTCGTGGGCTTGGGGGGGCGCAGCAACAGCGACACGCTGTTCCGTCAACTGGTCGCGGCTTGGACCGCCAAGGAGGTCGTGGGGCATCTGCATTTACTCTGCGACGACGACCTCGAAGAACGATACCATTCCATGTACATGCAGGCCGCCGCGCAAGCCGCGGGTATCCCGTGTACGTTGATCGTGGGCATCGATTCGATTTCATTTGACAACGAACACGACGGGTTGTTTCGAGATGCCAACAACGTGGTGATTCAAAACGTGTGGAAGACATGGTCTTGGGAAACTGTGCTCAAGCAGTACAAGCAATCCACTGCCGCCACTTCGTCGACCCACGAGGCCGACCACCACATGGATCATCATCATACTCGTTCGCCTCCAAACTCTCTGAAACGACCGCTGTCGTCGCCAACCACGTCCACCACGCCAGGGTCCACCAAATTGAAACGAGAGGACGATCATCACGGGGTTGCCACGTCATCGTCCAACCGTCGTCGCAACCTCCAACCTGTGCGACAAGTGATGGACATTCTCCTGCACGAGTCTGTCCGGGTATTCGAACCCCTTTGGACCGTCCTCCCCAGCTCCAAGGCGATCCTTCCCGTGCTTAGCAAACTTTACCCCTCGCATCCGTACTTGTTGGCGTCCACGTTTGACGAAGCGGACGTTGTGCCAATGTTTCCCAAAGGGTACTGCGCCAAACCCGTCATGGGACGCACGGGAGCTAACGTGTCCATCTACAACGACCGCCATGAGCTCATCAGCGCCACCGGCGGCGCCTGGGACAAGGACAACATTTTGTTTCAGGAGCTGGCGCTGCTACCGCAATACGACGGCAAGTACGTGCAAGTCAATTGCTGGGCCATTGACGGTCGATACGGAGGCACGATTTTGAGAGTGGACGAGTCCAATATCATCGGCGGCAGCTCGGGCATGTACGCCATGCGTGTCGTACCAGACGAGGACGTGGCACCACCACAAACTCCGACCAATGTAACAACCACAACGGACTAGGGTCGCGGTCTGTGTTGTCGTTGGGTGTGGTTGGTTGTTTTGCGATATTTTTATTTTTATTTGATGGGAAGTAATATATTTATGTAATACAAAAAATGTAAAAACAAATGTTTAATAAGTTGTATTGGTGCAACCACCTCGACTGCACACACGCATCTTGTCATGTACAGCCAGCCGCCTTTGTGATGAAGATGAAAACACGTCGTGGATTGAAAGACTAAAAACGATCCCAGAGAATGCTAAGTAGGTGTAGGGTGGTCGTTTGTTTGTAACTTTCCATGGTTCGTTCAATCCAAATAGTAGAGCTGAGACATCTGATTGGCCATTGTCCACTTCGTTCTTTCCGGTAGAAAATCGAAAGTGATTTGTAGCCAATCAGCATCAAGTAATATCGGATTGACCAATGGGAGAGATTGGTGCTCGATTTGATTGGAGAGGTTCGATTGAACGGGGTCCAGAAATTCATACCGAATCTCCAATACATTATGGTGGATGCGGTACATTTCCAGATCCCGTCGAATCGCCGAAGAATCGACATTATTGATTGGCTCATCCAATTTTGGGTGCATTTGATTGGCTCTTACAGAAAGGACTAGTGTAGTCATCCAATCAGAACAAACTTCCAGCATGATTCAATATTGACAGTTGAGTGGAAAACCACGCGAATATCGAAAATATATAGCGAATTCACAATAGTACTTGCACTATTAATGCAGTCCGAGATTTCAAATGAAGGGAACGTACTGAAGATTTACTCCAGGGTACAAAAACAAACCTCCGACCACTGGCCTGTATAGAATCAAATGAGTCAGTTGTGATTCTTTTTACCGGTATTTCGATTCCAATTGAGATATTAATATATTCCCATTGAAAGACTGTGATGTCAAAAGGGTTGGACGCAAACTTTAGATTCGAAGATCCCGAGGCTCGGACTTGAGCACCGGCGTCACCACGGAACACACGAATAAACGGCATAGTACTACATAGCAATGGTTTAGTTGACTACCGGTCCTGTTATGCTTACAGTAAAATCCAGTAACGTTACTATTAATAGTAGTATTAACTTAATAGTTAATCCATAAACGAAGTATTACCCGATCAGTCAGTACGTTACAGCGATCACGAGGTTGCTCGTATGATATCAGTGAGCACCACTTTCGGCCATCGGCAGAATTCTAAGGGGAATGCCACCACCGACTCGAGAGCGACTTGAACGGGGACGATTGACCAAGCTCAACAGCTTGACCACAGGCTGAGTTGCATACGGAGCCTCGTTCCCCTCGCGGTGGTGGGTTGGTGTTGGCTATAGCTGGAATCGTAGCTGGGGTATGACCATAGAATATGGATACCCATGTAACGTTATCTTCACCAGGCCGACACTTTCTCGGCATCGAACAAAGCTCATTTGTCAGGAGGTCCAACAACTTTTCGTGGCACTCGGCCTCTTCCAACTCGGGCGACACCGTGAAGACCGTCATGACTTGCTGGGCGATGAGGCAGCGACCCTCACCTACGAATTCGGCGAGCAATGCACACATTTATAAATCGACGTACCAGACCGCGTTCGTCCCACAGGTCGACAGGCTGTTGATATCATATTTCGGCACAATTTAGATTTCCGTCGTGTAGTCTTGTCCCACTTCGCGGAAGCCTTTGATCTTGTTGGGCGTTGCGTTGATCGTCGTTCGGCGAGTGGGTCACAACCTTGGCGAAATGCCTGAATGTCGGTAGCTGCAGATTCGGCCACGGCACCGCACACCCTCTCGACTACTTCGAAGCGTTTGGAAGCAACGTGTTCTGATGTCGTTGGTGCCTACATAGAAAACATCGAGAATCGTCAGCCAGTCAAAGGACGCCGTTGCGACGACGACGATGTATGGCCACTGGCAAGAAATACGTGGCAACGTTCGTCAAGAAGTTGGCGCCATGAATTATGTTGTCGACAGTGTCTAGGACGCGCTGTGCGCTGGCCAACCCTTGCAGTTACAGTATGTAAGAGTTCCGGGACTTGCAGGGCTTCATGCGACCACCGTGGACAACGGACGTAAGAGTTGATGACGAGGTCATGAGGAGAGGAATTGCACCTGTGTTTGAAGTGGTTCAGGAGAACTTCGATAGCACTGAGCTTGAGCTCGTGTCCATCGAGCCGAGCTTAGCATGGCTGACCGTGTTCATGGTGCTGGACGTTCAGAAAGTAGTGTCGGCCCAACGTCTAAAAATAGACAAACACCAAATACAAACATGTACTATTAATAGTATTCACTGTCAATCATGCCCCTATGAATATTAACTGGCGAAGTAAAACTTCAAGTACTGTACTGTAATTGCAAGTAAATATTGGACTTTAGGGGAACATATTTTGTCTGAGTATAGTAGACACACCCGCATAAGAACGATCAGCTTTGGAGTAGCAAACAACGACAGAGCATCCACCCACAAAATTGCGCATACCGCAGCATAGCGGAGGTCGTGTGTATAATTTTGTGCAGGAGGTGCCTTGGTGAGGAGTAAGCCCCAATCATGCTCTTGGGAGAATGTCCAATCGATTCCTCTTGTCGGGAAAAGCGGCGTGCTGCTACCCGGACAAGGCCTGCGGTACAACTACCTTATTCGCGTAAATCCAGTTAAGTGCGTGTCCGAAGCAAATATCAAGCAAATATTTGTCCGAGTCGTTATGGTATGGAAGGTAAACTTTAATATTATTAATAATACGTAGTCCTAGTACTACGTAGTACTAGTAATAGACAACACAGTACCAGTAACGCTACACGTGCTTGTAGCGTTCGTGCATCTCGCTTGCGATGGACATGTCAATGATCCACTCGTCGTACCGGCCCAACTATAATTAATTCACGGCTTTTAAATGGCCATCGGTATTATTAATAACAATTGGCAATTTATCGATTTCGTACGACTCTCAAATGCCATACAATTTATGACTTCACTCTTATCCATGTAACGGCACTGTCTCAGACTAAATAAACCATACAGATCGTTCAAATCCTTCCACTCGACGATGTGACGATGTGCGGCTGTGCTGTCGCGCCGCTGGTGAAGATGATATGGTGCCCGTTCGATTTTTCACATCGACTTCATGGATGTTCGATCGAGAATGTTGGTCTCGATAGTCAAGATTTCAAAGCATACATTGTACAAGTCACCACTGATTATCGCCACGAGGCCAGTCATCATCATCAACGATTGCATACATTAATCAAGTCATTTCCCAAACAGGCCAGATTAAAGACACATCGGCCACAGCGCAGAAGCTCTCTATTTGTTTTATACAAATTACAAGGTTAATTCAGTTACTCTCCTTCACTCTCTATGATTACGATAGACGCCATGGACCAATCCGATGCGAGGTTTCGAATTTAATACGGAGTATAAAACATACATACAAATACGAGGTCATTGGGCAATATTTTAAACAATTGCGCGCGAATTACACACCTACTGTTGAGTGCCACGCAAGTTGGCTCTAATCATAATAGCAGCGATGGTTCCAAACGGTCCATTTTCGATTTTTCCATCGACCACGACATTGCAAGATGGAGAAGAAGGGCGGCCACGACGAGAACAACTTGTATGTGACGGTGGAAACTCCAGTAGCGCACCTCGTGGCAGACGAAGCGATCACTACTAGCTCCACCTCCACCAAGGATGCCAAGAAACCCCATGGCAAGATGGCGTCGTTCACGGAGCTCTTTCAGTTCGCGGACGGGACAGACTACGTGCTCATGTCTGTGGGAACCATTGCCGCGATGCTCACGGGAGCCGGTCAGCCCATTCAAATCACATTCTTTGGAGATATCATCAACGCGTTCAACCCACCCACCGGCAACGAAGCCCCTGGAGCGTTTCAAACCAACATCAACAAGGTCGTGTACCAGTTTGTCGTGATCGCGTCCATCATTCTCGTGTGCGGATTTGGACAAATTGCGTGCTGGTCGATCTCGGCGTCCCGTCAAAGCAAAAAGCTTCGTCATGCCTATGCGTCTGCGATCTTGCGTCAAGAAGTGGGTTGGTTTGACGTGAACGAGCCCATGCAATTGGCGACGCGTGTTGCCGACACCACGCTGTTGGTCCAAGAAGGCATGGGTCGCAAGGTCGGCGACGGGATGAACTTCCTCTCCATGGGTATTACGTCGTTGGTCGTGGCATTTTACTACGGATGGGAATTATCGCTCGTGCTCTTTGCGTTCACCCCCCTCATTGGTGTCAGTGCGTATTGCATGACCAAATCCATCACAGCAGCCGTGCAAGGAGGCGTTGAAGCGTACGCTGAAGCTGGCGGCATTGCCGAAGAGAGCTTGAGCAACATCAAGACGGTGCACATGTTCAATTCGATGACCACTGTGGCGAACAAGTACATGTCTGCGTTGTTGCGCACGGAGCAAGCAGGTGTGAAGAAGGGCCTGGCTGTCGGTTTCGGCACCGGGGTGATGTACTTTGTCATGCTGTGCACGTATGCCGTGGGCATGTACTACGGTGCAGTCCGCATCACCAACGATCAACTGGGGCCTCAGAAGTGTGTTGGGAGTGGATGTTACGACGGCGGTCGTGTCATCATTGTGTTTTTCTCCATTGTAATGGGCTCGATGGCTTTGGGCCAAGCTGGCCCCAGCATGCAGGCCGTGATGACTGCTCGCTCCGCCGCGTACGAGATTTTCGAGCTCATCAACCGAACCTCCAAGATCGATGCTTCGTCTGACGATGGGAAAACATTTGACATCGTGGAAGGTCGCATTTCGTTGGAATCTATCCGATTTGCCTACCCGAGTCGCCCCGAAGTTGAAGTCGCCGCCGGCTACTCGCTGGACATCCCCGCGGGTCAAAAGATCGCGCTGGTTGGCTCGAGTGGTAGTGGCAAGAGTACGATTGTGTCGCTCTTGGAACGATTCTACGACCCACTAGAAGGCCGAGTGACGTTGGACGGCCACGATTTGAAGTCTTTGAACGTCAAGTGGCTTCGAGACCAAGTGGGGCTCGTGGGCCAGGAACCGTGTCTGTTTTCCGACACGATTGCCGCCAACATTCGCCACGGCAAGCCTGGCGCGACCATCGAACAAGTCTACGAAGCTGCCAAGCAAGCCAACGCGTATGATTTTATCATGGGGTTTCCACTGGGATTTGACACGCCAGTGGGCGATCGAGGGGCGCAATTGTCTGGTGGCCAGAAGCAGCGCATTGCCATCGCGCGTGCGATCATCAAGAACCCGGCGGTACTTCTCTTGGACGAAGCCACGAGTGCGTTAGACACGGAGAGCGAAGCGGTAGTGCAGGCATCTTTGGATCGATTGCTGGCGTCTCGCCAGCGCACCACCATCATAATTGCCCATCGATTGTCGACGATTCGAGATGCTGACCGGATTGTCGTGCTGAGCCATGGCAAGGTGGTCGAAGATGGCACCCATGAATCACTTCTTCAACTTGAACATGGCCACTACAAGGCATTGGTGAATGCTCAAATGCGTCGTGGCGACTCGATCGAAACGATCTTGGAGCATACTCATACTCTTCAAAACGAGTATTGTGCTAATTCTGCTGCTGCCACCATCCCAGTGACAGGTGCGTCGTGGCTACACAACGACAAGAGCAAGCACAATGTCGACACAGTGGCCATTACCAGCGACGACGACGACGTGGGTCGTTCACATTATCTAGATGGAGCATCGTTTTCGAACGTGTCCGTGTTGCGCGTATGGCGGCTCTGCGCGCCGGACGCGTGGCACGTCGTGGCTGGCAGCGTGGGGGCGCTGTTGCATGGCGCCATGTACCCCATGTGGGGAGTCCTCCTAACCAAATGCACGGTCGTGTTCTTCCAGCTTGACTCGACCGTGGACGAGATGCGATCGGACGCACTCATGTGGTCACTCGGGTTTGTGATCATGGGAGCGGTGGTGGTTGTGGCTGTGACGGTGCAGAACCACCAGTTTGCGGTCGTATGCGAGAGGCTGACGGGTCGCGTCCGTGGGTTGTGCTTTCGGTCTATGCTGCACCAGGACATGGCGTGGTTCGACAACCCTGCGCACTCGTCCGGCGCGCTGTCCACTCGGCTGGCCACCGACTCGGCCGCCGTGCGCACCATGACGGCGGAAACGCTCAACGCGATTCTGCTCAATGTGGCAACATTGGGCGTGGCATTTGGGATTGCCTTTTACAACTCGTGGCGTATGACCGTGGCGTTCGTTGGCGCGTTGCCGTTTATGGCGGCGTCCCAGATGCTTCAGATGCAGATGATGACGGCGCAAACCGGCAAGAGCGTCAACCAGGGCGACGTCCTTGCCGGCGCCCGGCTCAGCGAAGCGATCAACGCGATCCGGACCGTGGCGTCGTTCAATTTGGAACGGCCGACCAACGCCTTGTACCTGGACAGCCTCCTCGCGAGCGCCGCCACCGACACAAAGGCGGGCGTGGTCGCCGGGGCTGCCTACTCGGTGGCCCAGTCCACCATGATATACGCCATGGCGACTATCTTTTACTACGGCGGGTGGCTCATGTTGAGAGGCCTGGTGGACTTTGAAAGCATGTTTATGGTGCTCAACCCGATTTTGTTTTGCTCGTTCGGGGTGGGCATGGCGGCTCAAGGCATGGGGGACGTTGGCAAGGCCAAAATCGCAGTCAAGAGCATCTTTGCCATCATCGACCGAAACCCAACCATTGATTGCTCGTCCAGCGAAGGCCTTCAACTCGAACATGTGCATGGTGACTTGGAGCTTCGCGGATTGGAGTTCAACTACCCGAGTCGTCCGGACAGCAAAGTCTACACGAACTACAACCTCAAGATCCAGAGCGGGCAAACGGTGGCGTTGGTGGGGGGCAGTGGCAGCGGCAAGAGCACGGCCATCAACCTCATTGAGCGGTTCTACGACCCCACGGCCGGCTCTGTATTTTTGGATGGCCACGACCTCAAGACGATTAACGTGCAGTCGTTGCGCCAGCACATCTCCATCGTGAGCCAGGAACCCGTGCTGTTCATCGGCACCATTGGCGAGAACATCGCGACGGGCAAACCTGGCGCCACCCAAGAAGAGATCGAGGACGCCGCCAAGAAGGCCAACGCCCACGACTTTATCATGCAGTTCCCGGACAAGTACAACACGGCCGTGGGGGACCGTGGCGTGCAAGTGTCGGGGGGGCAGAAGCAGCGCATCGCCATCGCCCGCGCCATCATCCGAGACCCCGCGATTCTGCTGCTGGACGAAGCCACGAGCGCACTGGACACGGAGAGCGAGCGCATCGTGCAGGCGTCGTTGGACTCGCTGCTCAAGCTCAAGCGCCGCACGACCATCATCGTGGCCCATCGGCTGTCCACAGTGCGGAACGCGGACGTGATTGCGGTCGTGGACGGCGGGCGCGTGGCCGAGCAAGGCTCGCACGACGAACTGATTGCCATCCCCAACGGCATTTACGCCAACTTGGTGTCCCGGGAGATGCACTAAGATAGCAAGGATAAATTAGTGGGTTGAACACATTCAACTTGTCTATGTAAGTTGGTCACCGCAAGAATTGTGCCTGTGTCTCGAATCACGGACACCAGCGACGTGCAAACTAACTAGTACCAGTACTTTTTAACAGTCATCGTATTAATTGCAGAAAGTTGACGAATTTAACTGTTCAGCGACGACAGTATCGACGTTTGTATTGGATTGTGAGTGATCCATGCGACGAAGATAGTAAGTACGTCTACACATATTGGTAACACTTGCCCATACATACTCCTATTCCGCAATGTTCATTGTAAAGATAATAGACGATTGTACATATATATATATATATATTCACTTGACGCTATGTGCAAAACTGCATTATCATTCCTTGTGGGCAGCCGCCCGCAGTCGTAGTCGTGCTTTTGATGGGGTTCGAAGGGGGGAGAGAGAGGGTATGGAGAAGGTGTCGAATGGGGGGCAATCGAGCAACCCGTGGCGACGGTGGCGTAGTCTGCCTGTAGTGATACATGGTGATTGTCGACTCGGCTTCGAAAGTGGTATTTTCAAACAGAAACGAGTCTGGTGGCTCCCCGACAATCTTCCACGCCTCGTGCACTCTGATGGTGGTGGCGTCCATGTCTTTCTTGGCTCGGCGCGACTTGCGATCGCTTTTTCGCTGGTGTGCGTTTTGCTTTTCGCGGTGGAGGGCACACAGCGAATGCAGTTCGCCATTCAACTTGATGGCCCGAGGGTACGTGCACTTGCCGCTCTTGTAGGCGCAGTGTGCCGACATCGCATCGGCAGTCAGGTGTCGCGATGGCATGAAATCACGTGTAGCGAGACTGCAATATGGGAAATGGAAGGTCACTTCAACCGATGCGTGACCTTTGGGGTGGCGGATACGTCAGAGTAACCGTCGTCGAAGAATATGGTGAAAAGTGAAACCGAAAAGGGGGGGGGGTTGTTGTTGATATGTACAGTATATTTGGTCCTACTGCGACGTTGCTGAAATCGCAGACAAAACCTCTACCTGTCGCCCTTATAACACGTCGATGACAGGCAGTGTTTTGCGGGCAGGCCATACGTCGTAGGCCACTACAAGGCGTTTGTGTCAAGATGAAATGGAAGTCAGCAGTTTCGTCGTTTACAAATAGCCTTTGACGGGAAACGTGTTGGTTACGTATGAAGCGGCACATGTACAATGAGGTGAACAGCACCAGTGTCGTTTGACAAAGACATCGTCGATACCTACTTGGAGCAGCCCTAAACTCCATTGGTGTAGTGGTTTTGTGAACTAAGCGTAATATGAAACCGACAACGGTTACTTTGTGGGACTTGTGATGGCCGCCTTCGTTTCGTATTCTCGTTAAACTTGTGCTCAGCTATCAATGCCGAGATAAAGACGCAAACAGTACGCATGTGTTGCTCCTTGCGACCCCCTGCTGACGATTTCAATGTTCTGGTGTTGATTCGCATTATTATCGAGTGGGCAAATAAATTGATACCTAAGTGTACCACTTAAGTGGCAGCTTTAGTACTCTATACGCGTCTGGTCTAACCCTTTACCTAACACACCTTAGTTATTATGGCAACGTCGTCTCACATGTGCTGTCAATTCCTCGAAGTAGTATTACGTAGTATACGTAACGTGAACGTTATCGTTCGTTCGCTCCGGCGTATTTCAAGTGGGAGGTTTCATGTACTAGTAATCAAGCGTGTTCCGTACTATTAATAGTACTACGTAGTACTAGTATACTATTACTAGTACTATTATACTCACATTAATACTTCCTACTTCTGAAGTACGTTAGTTGATAAGTACAACTTTCATTTCTTTATAGCCAATCATGATGCAAGCTTCATTCTTATAGCCAATCATACGATTTGTTGGCGAGATTTGCTGAAATTTTGAGTAATGAATATGAAATGGAAGAGTAGATGAAGCTGATAGACAGGGCATGCCCAATCAACAGTACACACTTTTCAACTCGTGCGACTGTTGGTTGCTGCTCTGATGGCGAATGGATGGTTGTAAGGCAGATAGTAGGCCCAAACGTCAATACACACGTGCATCATTGCATATGAAGGCTGTACATGTCTTGTTCAAATCATGTGACCAATTGCTGGCTGCTTGCTGGGACCATCGATATGATTGAAACCCAACATATAATATATATATGGATCTGGAAAAAGGAATGGGGCGATGGTTGCAACTTAAAACGCAAAGTACATGTCGGGGGTGAATCCGAGCTCTTCGAGCGCGGGCACGACGGCAAACTTGAGCATGGGGGGCGGGCCGCACAAGAAGATCTGCGTGTCGGGGCCAGCACCAAACAAGTGCTTGTCGATCATCTCTTTGGTCACAAACCCCGTCGAGTACTTCCACGAGTCGGAGGCGCGGTCCACAGTGTACCAGACTTTGACGTTGGGAAAGTTCTTTGTCATTTGGTCGAGTTCGGCGCGGCACAAGATATCGTCTTCGGTTTGGTTGGCAAACAAGATGGAGAACTCGGTGGTTTCGTTTGGGTTGGCCAGGGCGTATCGGATCACTTGCAACATTGGGGTGATGCCCGTGCCGCCCGCGATCATGCCGATCTTCTTCGCCTTGCGCACGTCAACGTTTGTGTCGTTGACGCGGTGCTTGATCTCAAACACCCCCAACCCCTTGTACGTCAATTTGCCCTTAGGTCCAGACACTTCGATGGTGTCACCAATGGGGAGCGCGTCCAAGTGCTGCGACATCTTGCCGCCGTCGGGGAACTTGGGGTGCACGTTCTTGAAGTAGATCTTCACCACCAAGTCCACGTACCCGACCGCGTCGTCGGAACTCACGGGCGTGTACGACCGCATCACGAGCTTGCCGTCGTCGTCCGTGAAGCGGAGCGAGATGTGCTGGCCCACTGGAAGCCCCAACACGTGGTGTTCGCTTGGCAGGGCGAATCGGAAGCGACGGGTATCGTGCGAGAGACTCTCCTTCTCGACGAGCTTGAGATGCACGGTCGAGTTGGGCTTGAGCGTGATCAAGGCATCGTTCTTGCCAACGTTCAACGTGTATCGACGGTAGAGCACTTCCAACACCTTGGAGATAATGATGGTCAACACGACAAGGATGATCGCATTGCGCGAGCTCGTATCTTGCGAAGGGGCGGAAGCGTCAGCCATGTTGAAGCTGTTGTTTGTTCTCGACCGCAGAATGATGGCAAATGGCAAGGGCATTCCGAGGAAGTTTGGTCGACGAGATGCAATTAGTGTGAGTTCCATACTCAAATCAAGAGATGTCGTTAGATAGTGGGACTATGACAAGGGCAAAGTCGTAAAATAGTGTACTTTTGACCAATCGACGTCATCCAATCGTGGCGATGACACAATCGACATCTGCCATGGAGAGATGAGTCGACTTTGGATTGATACGTAGAGCCATAGCAGCAGTGGTCCCGCCCGGCAGAGTTGCCGAGAATGAAATTCCACTTCTAACGTTGACAATTTTCCAGTGGGACTCACCGACGTCAATGACATGGATATAAGATATATTGCATTTTGCCCAGATATCAACAAAGCACTTTGGCGCAGAGGAAGCGTGTTGGGCTCATAACCCAAAGGTCCCTGGATCGAAACCAGGAAGTGCTATTTCTTTTTTACCAAATTCTTGTATTTCGTCGATAAACAACACTTCAATAAAAAAGTGTTTTTTAGCAATTCGGAATTGAGACGTAGAATCGACAGATCTCAATGTGGTGAAGAAATTCTACGTCTCAGATTCAAATATTTGGTGATGAATTGGTCCAGAAATAGGTATTTAACCTAGCGGTATTTTACATGGGCGCATGGATATTTGGCGATAGGGGTGGCCGCTGAGATGTATCTTGCTTTTTGTAAATGGCTATTATCCGTATATAATATCTGTCGCAACTTTTTCATTGCATACGTGTGCCAGCGGTACGTCCAAACAGCCACGTAATACATATTCCACACATGTGTGACACTGTGACTAGGGCGTTCCTTGGATCGATCCTGCACCTGCTTCGTGTAGGCGAACGCCTAGTGTGATAAAACGCATTAAATCGGTATTTAACGTATTTGGTTTTTGGGTTAACTACATTAATTAAACCTCCACTCTTCGATTTGGCCAGTTGGAAGTTTTTAGATGACGTGCAGCATAATAATGACGATTTCCCAATTCTGCCCGGGTCGCCACAACCAATTCGCCGCGACATTTGATTGGATAAAGAAATATTCTTCAGAATAAACATGGAAAACAGAAAGAAAATGTTAGCCTATCAGCGACAAGGAATTTCAGATGAACCAATCAAATGGCATTCAGTGCAACGCACCAGATTCGATTGGGCGGGGTCCGAATATTCGTACGGATGGGGTTTCGGGGTTTCGGGGATATTTTATGAATAACACTCGGGATCGACATATTCGAAAGAGCTCTAATATATACGCGTTTGTCCATAGTTTCTAGTAACGGTAGAGTCTACTTCTTCTTCGCTGGCGTCGACGGCAAACCCGTGGCCGCCGCACTCAGCTGCATGGCCGTAATCTCGTCGGCTGCAAACTCGTCCGTGTCTTGCACAGCCGACGACACTTTTTTCTGCACGCGCTTCTTGCGCTTGTCCTGGTCCAATAACACCTGCTTCGACGCCTTTTTGACTCGGTCGCGGCTCAGCGCGTCGTCGTTTTCCTCCAACATCAGCCCGTCGTCATCGTTGAGCTCGTCCGGGAGAAAGCCGTCCCCGGGTAGGGGGATGCGCTGGTTGTACGGCCGCGCAATGCCCACCGCCAGCTCATCGTCAGGGATCACCGAAGCGGATTCTGTTGTTGTCGTCACGATGGGCGCGGTGGTGGCGGAGCCTCCAGACGACGGGGATGCCGTGGCTCCCGTGAGCTCGAGAAGCCCCAAGAGCGTCACTTCGCTCTCGTGCAGTGCTTCGACAATTGTGTCGTCGTTAACTAGGATCGCCTTGCCATCTTCTCGAACCTGTAGACACAAGTCAGCGCGTGATATGGACGAGTACATGTGATGCCAACTAAATCAACCAACCTCATCGAGATATCAAATAGTTATGGTCACACAACTTGTCACTATCGACCGGTACAGTAGTTCTAGAAACAACAGCTACAGACAGATATAATGTACTTTATACCCAACACAAAGCACTCCAAAAATACATCGGGTTTCTACCAAGCAGCACACAGCCAACACAAACGTGAGATCCTTCTGTATAGTCATACTTGTCACTGAACTATCGACGAGATCTTATCGATTATGTGCCCGTCACGACTAAAAACACTGTCACAGAAGCGTCTCCACAAGCTCACTACCAACACAACACCAACCCATCCGACGGCACCTTCCAAACGGGGTGCTACACTCAAGTCGATGGTTGGGAATGGAATCATCACGTACCGACTCGATCTTGTCGACTAGGTGCTCGACGCCGGCCTTGACGCTGATGAGGATCTTGGCCACGCGTTCGAACTTGACGCGCGCGCGCTCGAGCTTGGCCGTGGCCAAGTTCAGATTGGTTTCGTGGTCGTCGACCATTTTCCGCCGGTGGCCACCACCGCTGCCGCTATACTTGAGTTCCTCGACGTGGGTTTTCAAGTGCAAGTGCTCGGCCTGGAGTGCCTCGAGGCGTGCTTGGTTTTCTTTCGTGAGCATCATCAGGTTCTCGGTCGTGCCCTCCTGGCTCACAATCTTCTGGATCACTTCGTTCACGTCGCTGACGCCGGTGGCTTCTTTGATTTTCCGGAACGCCGACTCGAAAATGTCGATTTTGCTGCGATGTTCCTTCTTCTCGTCCGCAACCCGACCTTCTTTCAACGAGTTGAGCGCCAGGGAGGTCTTGAGCACATTCCCTTCGTCCGGCGCCAAGACTATATAAAACAAAATTCATTGCAAGTAAACAAATAGTAATACCATCTCAAAGTAGCATATTGCAAGTCAACAATAGTAATGCCATCTCAAAGTAGCACACATATGAGATGGTCCAGATTCCTAGGAAGCTACCTAACTACCCATTCAAAGTCGATAAACAAATCGGTAACGTTACTTTAAAAGACTTCACACCCCATCCATAGCCAACGTTGAAATGTCATAAACAACATCAAAAACACAATACAATACCGTCGACTTCGGCGTCCACAAGGTCGTGCTTTTGTCGTTCGCGACGATCCAGTCGTGCGTTCATATCGAGTTTCATCTTGACCACTTGCTGCTTTTCCCGTAACTCCTTGTCCCGCAACCGTCGCTCTTCTTCGTAATTGGATCGCACGCGCTCCAATTCGGCGACCGTCAGGTCCTTGGCGTGCGCCGCGTCCGCCGACAACATGACGAGCTCGTCGTAGTCGTGGTTCTTTGCCGCCGCTGCGCGCTCGATGGCCGCGAGCTGGTTGTCAAACCCGATGCGCTCTTCCTTGAGCCGCTTCACGATCTGCTCATACGTTTTGCGGATGCTCTGCGCCTCGTTGTACTTGATCATGGCCTTGTCCAGCCGGTTCTCTAACATGCGAATCTTGCGCGTCTCGGGCGTGTCTTCCATGCTCGGCTTCTTCGCCTCGAGTTCCAAGTCTTTGACGTTGTCCTATAGTGTCAGTCATGAGCGTGCCATGTACGTCATCACGCGATTGGTCGATCGATAGACTGCGATGGCGGATGTATGTACCTTGAGCTGCTCAAGGGTTTCCAATTGCGCCGCCACCTTATGCCGCACGTCGTCGTATTGCTTGCGGCATTTGGTCAAATGCAGCGCGACCTGCGACGTCTCATCGTCGCCTTCGCCCACCACGACCGGTCCCCCATTCAACGGGGTTTCGTTCTACGTGAAAACATACGTAAACAAAGTCCTGGGGGGTATGACGGGCGACCGTAGGACGTACGTACCCGCTTCATGTCGGCCACATTTTTGCGCAGCTCTTTGTTCTCTTGTTTAAGCTGGCGAATGAGATCTTTGTTGGAGTTCTTGTTCGTTTCGAGCAACTCGACGTTGCCTTTTCGATCGACCTCTAGATCATGTGTTTGCAATGGTCAAGTCAACAACGGCAATGTCGTACGCAAGAGGCGCATTTTCTCGCGCAGGTCGTCCACTTGCTCTTCCATGCGGGCATCGTAGTCCATTTCCATCTTCTTGAGCATCGACTTGGAGTCGTGGCGCTGCATGTCGACTGTGGCGGGATGCGTTTGGCAGTTTCACAATGTTGCGAAACCGATCCACCTGAGGCCGTTATTCGACCAATTCCCCCAGGTAGTGGGTGGTACACCCCACTCAATTGGTCAAATGTCCACTCACTCAGGGAATTTGGTACTAACGTTAACCTAAAATGTCCCTGAGGTAATGGGTGGAACTATGTAATTGCTTGCTGCGAAAAGTACTAACTTCGAAGTGCTACGTACCAGGTAGTACTGAGTACAATCTTAACGTTAACGTTAAGCACCGTTACACCTGTACCCTGATGTGAGCAGGTACTATTACTGTATTTTCTAGTATTACTCCGAATTATATTAATACTATTGTAGGGGCCTTTTGGGATGCAGGGTCATACAAACTGTAATATAAATATGAAATATTGGGAATTTGACAGTTTCGAAAATAGTCGTAGAAAGATCATGATCTTATCTTCAATTTGAACTGATTTACGCCAATTTTGGGCAAAAACTGCATGAAATATTGACAAAATGGCACGGACTTTCAGCTACTGAGGCTCCTTTTGTCATTAAAACGTTCACTTACTTCACTCAAATAAGACGTATAACACACAAGGGCTTATATGAAGGATTAGATACTGTGTTGTGCGGAGTAGACGGTGGAGAACGATGTGTGTCGATCGATGGAGAAGTTCCTGCTTTGGGCAAGTCGCTTGATGATTCCATGAACTTTAGTCATCCAATAAAATGATGTGTTAATGGTAATTATAGCCAATGAGTGAAGCCGAATCAGATTTTTTAGTAGATACTAGCACCTACTAACACATTTTGGGTGTTGATTTCCATCGACACATCTTCCGCGCAAATTTAGAAGGCGACGGTGTCCCTGGCTATTCATCACGTCAATGCAACCCATTTCAAGTGTAGTCTGAAGAAATATTATTCGAAAGAGGCGTTAAAATTGCTTCAGTAATAAAGAAGTTACAATGACCTGTCTGATGCATCTTCCCACAAGGCCCCTACATTTAATAATAGTAAGTATTAATAGTAACTACTAGTTACTACTCCGGAGTACTTGCTATTAGTAGAGTGTTTTAGCAAGTCTGTTTTCCTCACTTTTCAGACTTTAACTTCGTTTCGAATTTCGAAGACTTCAGACTTCACTCGAAATCTAGTCCGAAAAGCAAGGAAGTCAGCAGACTTTTCATGGTGAAGTCTGGAGAGTGCAAGCTCCTGCCTAGAGCCAATCAAATTGAGCCGTCACAGGTTGTAGGCCTTTACAACATGCCACAGACCAAATTGATTGACGATGGGCAAGGCCATGCAAAAGCAGCTTGCATGGAGCACCGACATGGATCTTGCCTTGCTTCGTGAGGTCGTCCGAGTCGAACCCTACGACGGCGAGTATGGCACGCTTACCGCACGCTGGAAGGCCATCGCGTCGAGCCTGTCGACACTTTTCGAATGCGAGATCCCGTACCGTTCGGCGCGCGACCATTACGAGTCCATGGTAGAAG